CATCTACCACCGAAAACCCCCTTACCACCCCTTCAACTTAACTCTTTACCGACAGAAGACATCCCCTCTAGCTAGCCGACGGCCCATAGATCCCGCCCCGTTCCCATCCATGAACTTCCGGACCTCACATCCTTCTCGCGTGTTGTCCCAAACATATTTCTTTCTGCTGGTTCCTCCACAGGTCAACCATGGTACTCTTTGTGCCACGCGTTGTACCCCTATCGACGACCTCTTATTCAATCTTATCTGCAGGAGTAGAGGTAATAGTGATCCAATCCTCGTGAATCACGCCCGTGACCACAGAGCCAAATGTTGCTACCGTCAAAAGAGTTCAGAGTCTAGAACTTTGCTTATCTTCCCCCAAGAACGTGCTTGCTCGCTCACCACATATTGGCTAGCTTGTAGTGTGGTTTTCCTTTTCTTAATTTACAAACAAGTCGACGGGGGTATGTTTGAAAGCGCTCCAGCTCGTATCTTGGTACAAACTTCAAGTTTGTCCACATATCACCAGACCTCGTCTAGCACACATGGATATCGCACTCGAAATCCACGAAGGTCAGTGCTGGTTCAGCAGCTGTTCAATGGCCATAATTTGATATGTCGTGGAAGACTTTCTAGCGACAGCTTTCCCCAATCCAAATAAAAACTCAGCCGAACAAAAGCATATTGCCTCAGAAAGAACATCATATCGCGGAAGAATTATGGTTATTCGTGAACAATGCAAATTAATTAAGTTTTTAAACCAGGAAACATACCATGTTATCCAGACCATGCAATATAATACAGTCGAACTTAAACATTAAAACGTCGACGCATAGGTCTTTGTGCACATGCACCCCATCCAAGCCGTCTATCCAAAGACACCTTTGCATCTCTTATTCTATCAGTGTTTGACAAATCATAGGGTAGCCTGTGTGGATCCCTCGCCCGTGGACGTTTGCCCTTATTAAAGTGGGCATTATATAACATACTGAAAGCTATTAGTAGTTGCGTCAAAAGGATGTACAGGACTTACGGGAATAAATAAGTAAGGGACAAGTTTGGTGTACTCGTCCCAACTTTCTCCATACTTCAACTTGCAACGCTCAATATCTCTGTACGCGCGATGGCAGATCATTCCAAAGAAGAAGGCCGGATAAAACCAAGGGAAAGGACTGCTGAACCCTGTAATCAATCCCCAATTGAGGGCGAAGTAAAGGTCGCAGGTGTAATGAATTTTACGAGCTTGGCCATACCACCCATCAGCGAGAATAGAATCACCAGTCTTCGTCTTAATATGGCGTGGATTTTTAACCGTCTGCCATGGTAGTTGAGGAAATGCGTGACGGTCGACCAAGGTGCCACGTTCCGAGGATCTGAAACGATTCTTCTGGGAGTTGGTGGTATCCCAGACCCAGTAAACAAAAAGATAGCCGACAAATAGGGCTGCCATAACATATTTGTTGTGGTGATATGTCGCAGGGTCATGGTTGGCCAGATAGATAGTGCAGTGGCAGTAACTTAATGGGACACCAGCCAAGTTCCAGAAAATCAACATAAAACCCCACTTCTCGTAGTACATATCCCTGTGAATGTTAGTAACTCAAATATGAGGCGTTTGGAATCCGAACTCACCAAGTTGTAGTGATCAATTCCTCGCCCTTTGAACAAGCATTGGCATACAAGAAATGTGCCATAACCAGGAAGCAGACTTCAGCTGAAACATATCCATACTCCTCCCATTGACGAGCTGCCGTCCCGCAAGATAAACCTAAAAGAATATACCAAGGGAGGCGGACTTCGAAAAACATCTTGAAATCCAATATCCCAAACATGCGTGGATTCAATTCTGCGCCCATAAAAAAGTCATAAAGGAATCTGCCGGTCATTCGGTGTTGAGCTCCACGAGCAATGGCAGAAACGTATGCTACGATGGCCACAAGAAACCCGGAGATAATTGCAACCGACATGATTGGACCGAATTCGTCAATGATGGTGTAGAGTTTGAAGATGTTGAGGAAATGTAATGTTGCCGCAACCACAATCGTAAACCAGAAAGACCAGATTCCAGAGCAATAGTACAATAATTGCTTTCCACCCAAGTGAGGAAGCGGTTTTCCATATTGATAAATGCCAGGCATCAAACAATAACAGGCGCCCTCAAACACAAAGAATGTCCAGTATATTGTCCAAGCGCGTACAGAGGGGAAAGCCTCCGTGTAGACCAGATGCCCCATATGCTGTATGAATTGAAGAAAGCTTTGTCCTGGTTCAGGTGTTGGAAATTTGCCGTCATAGAATGTCGCACCAATCCACATGTAATACATGAGCAGAGGGAAACAAACCATCATTGTCGTGACTCCTGCCGAACCACCAAAATCGAAATGCGGGGAGTAATCGATTTTGGGATCCATCCCTTCTCTCCATCCATCCACGACCAATTCCAATTTTTGGACATGGCCGTTCGTGTGACCATTCGCATTGCCGTTTGCCTTGCCATTTGCGTGCCCATTGGCATGACCATTCGCGTGCCCGTTCGCAGACCCGTTGGTCAATGAGCCATTCGATAGATTCTTGGTACCGTTTCCATTCGCCATGTATTCAGTGGAAGCGTCCATCATTGCATCTCCGTTCATGGCGTCTTCGACCACGATCACATTTCTCTTTGGCTTGGATGCTTTCGGCCTGGAAGAAGAGTCGGTCGCGGATGAGTCGTCGTCCTCCATTAGGCTCTCGGTGAACTGTGACTTTCTTCGATACGGTTTCCTTGTCCCAGGCGTCTGAACAAGGCCAAGATGTTCAGTCTTTCTACAGATTTCGTCAGCAATCATGACATGGCAATACAATGAAAAGATATCTTACTTCGGCGTCTGCCTCAAAGAATAACGTTCCGACATCTCGAAGGGATGTTGCGTGAGAATGGATCAAATTAAAGGATTTTAACGGAAGGCGCGAGAACGAAGTTCCAAGATGCTCGTGAAGAATGTATTATAATTAAGTAAAAATCATATGTCGTCAAAGTGCACTTTCGTGTCTATTCACCGCCTCGAACTGGCCATGAGTGTGCGAAGTAACGGTAGTACGACGTAAGAAAAAGTATTGCAGTTGATGAGTGAGACTTACAAAGAGATGGCAACCCAGAAATGTTCGGGGGAAATTGTCCATCGGCGACTAGCGAGGTGGGACGGCTTCTGCAATGCAATCAGCCGTCCTGATTGGCTTTGTCGTCCACTCCCGAGTCCGCCCCTGAGTCTTAAACCCTGTCTATTTACCCAGTGCTTGGGAAGGTACGAAGTAAACACTGTGAATGGATCTTGGAGCAGGTGTGACTATTTGGGGTTTGACACAGAGCTCGACTAACTCAAAGCACATCGAAAAAGGTAACTGATTATTACATTCAAGAACTTTGACATTATATTCATCGCGATGAATGGTTAGTAAACCATTTTATGCAACTATTATACATCAGACACTTGTAAACTTCCTCACCCAGATGCCACTTTTTAGAACCCTTCCCAATTGCTGTACGCCTTTGCGCTCATGCCATCTAAAACGAACCACCGGAAGAAGAGGAAGTGATTTACAAACAGCTTTCCGCCAAAGACATGCATCTTCTTAATTTGCCATATTAGATTCGAGTCCGCCTTGGATGGAGAGAGCAGTCGAATATAGACGGAGTATCGGTTTGGGATGCGAGACCACAGTAGAACCTTCAGAACGAACGTTGCTTATCCCTTTTTGGACAGCGTACTTTTCGCCAGGTCATCCTCTCATATCTTTTCATAAAACAACAAGTATGCCACCTTGTTATCCTTGATAGAGGACTTGTCGGCTTTTGCTTTAGGAGTTGATGCGCCATTGACCACACTTGACCACTTCTTCCCTGGCCCACTTGCTTGCTTCCACCCATCTTCAGCAGCAGGATCTTGCTCTTCATCGAATGCAGAGAACGGATTCCCAGATCCCTCATTTTTGTGTGCCTCCAAAGCTACAGCGAGAGCCTTTGGATCCTCCTCGCTGCCACCTTCAGCTACGTCCTCACTTCTCACCCTCCTGACGAGTGTATCATCGATACGTATCCACTCACGGCCGTCTTGCCGTCTAACGTCCACGGTGTAATGACCCCCACTCGCGTTTTTCCCATGGTGGTAGACAACAGCGGTGAGGCGGTATCTAGGGAGGCCTCCATGGGAGTATACACCACGCTTCTGGCGCGTGAACACCTCCTTAGGTATCTCAAGGTCCAACGGATAACCAACCTTCTTCCAGATCTTCGATGTTGCATTGGTCTTCTCGTCATACTGGAATCGCTTCAAGTGAAGAATAAGGACGGATGGTAAAGAGTCCAAGAAGTCTTGCTTCGCACCTCTTCCTGCGCTAGTTTCCAGGATTTCTGACCGACTGAGTCCCTTCAGCGCCTCGACAATATTGTTGACATTGGGGGCTCCAATATCTAACTGAAGCGTCTCAAAGTGAGTTATGGTTACAGAATCAGTCTGTCCCGGACGTCGTACTTCGGTACGGAGTTTGCCTCCGAAGATGTTGGTGATCGGGGAAGGAATGGCTATAATTCCAGAGGACTGAGTAGTAGAAGCCTTCTGCTTTCGTCCTACCTCGAGCCATCCATTTTCATTTGCTGATGGTGCGTCTTCTGTGGGAGAAGCAGGGTTGTTCTTCGGTGTCGCAATCGCCGAGGCAGAATTCGATGTGCTTGCACGCATAATTCTCTCGCACTCCTCGTGTAACTCCATGAAAAGCAGATTTAGAAACTCTTGAGCATCTTGCTGGTGACCTCTCTGTAAAGCAACGATTAGAGACAGGTGCGGTTGTAAATATGGAATGACCTACACGCATAGCAGAGAACCTGGTTAGGTGCTTAGTGACATCGTATACAAACTCCGGTATGAAAGCCTCTCCATAATCTTCGAGCTCACCCTGCTTCAATCGCATTCGTAGTTTCTCAACAGAGACTGCTGAATCGATAACCGGGTATTCACGCATGAACATAATCCTGATTCGGGTTAGCAACCGTCCACAACCGGCGTTTTAGAACTTACATGGCATCAATCAAAGGTGTATCACTCTTAAAGCTGTGAGCCGCACGCTTTCCAACTTGGTCCAGAAAAGAATAGAACGGAACACAAGAAACAAGAACCTGAAGAACCTGGGGATAACTTAGTATATCACTATTAGAAATATGAAGAATTGGCTTACCGAATTCATATAACACATATTACCAGTATTGACAAGCCCCCTGGGCTTCAAAAACGCAATCTTCGAGTCATTAGACTCCACACTGAAAGACCTCAGCGCGTCTGCTAGGGACTCTGTGTTCGCTTTACTATCATTTTGGTCTGTAGTAGATCCCTTCTCATTTTTGGAAGCATTAGCTCTAGGCGCAGACGGATTGAACAAGCCCGCCCAGAGCTTTGGTTTGGCCCATGCCACAGGAGCAGGCGCAGGCGTATCATCTGTGGTGGCCTTCTCCTCTTCTACACTGTCTTTACCAGCGTCTTGGTCTTCAACTTGTGCTGATACTTTTGGGGAATCGCCTCCAGCACTTTTAGCAACAGATTGGGGTGCAGAATCCTGCGGAACCCCTTTTGATACAGCAGATACCAGGGGTACGGCTGGGATTGCCGGCTTTTGTGCGTGTTTTGGCGCCACTGGAGTCGTGTCTCCATTTGGTGTAACAGGAGCCTGTGTCACAGAGGAGGGCGTAGTAGGATTGGTCGAATGGGCTTCTTCTGATTGCGGTTGATTTGTAGAAGGCGTTTCTGGGCGAATTGGAGTTTGCTCTGTTGTGGGAGCAGCTTCAGCCTCGTCGCTCACGCCTGGTTGGCCATTGGCGGCGGAACCCTCAAAAACCACTGGTTCTGCCGAGACCCCCAAATTCTGTTTCCGTTTTCTTCGCGCTCGTCTAGCTGGCCAAGGGAGATCCGGTCGTGATAACCATGGCAACTGATCAGGGTTAGTGGCTGTTATACCAACTGGCGCAAAATAAACTTACAGGTGCTCTGAATGGGTTTCGCGGCGGCGACGTCTCTACAGGCGTAGGAGGCGCAACACTAGAGACCGTCTGTGGAGTAGGAGGGGTCATAGGGACTGTATGACTTGATTGCGTGGATGTAGACTGCGTCTGGACTGGTTTGAAGGTTGAGACTACAACGGGTGACGCTTGAGGCGGAGGTCGGGGGGTGTATGGCTGCGGAGGCATTGGAGGATGCGCGTAATGCTGCATCTGTGGAGGAGGAGACCGAACATATGGATATGGATTCTGCGGTATGGTAGGATATTGTGGGTAGTATTGGTGAGGAAGTGCGGGTAGTTGGTTGTGGAAGCCCGCGTTGTTGTATGGATTGTGTATATATCCATTATTGTACATGTGTTGCGGCGGAGGGTACTGATTCTGTTGATTGTATTGCCGTCGCCTCTCTGGCGGTTGCCCTGCCGGCAGATGACGGTTGTTCATCATACCGGCTTGGGAAAGGAAGCTTCCCTCGAGTTATATAGAATCGCTGAGCCGGACCGCGTTTGTCTTGTAACAGTTTCGCGTTGCAGCAGCTTGGAGATTATCGCGAAGGGAGGTTTTGACTCTGCAAGTCGAGGATGTTTGTGTGCGCAGAACTCGTGGAAGCCAGCATCTGGAGGACGCGGTAACTACAGGTTGTGGTTGTGTAGGGCGAGTTAGGTGAATGAGCGTCGCATGCGCAGAACGGGGGTTGACGATATTCTAAAATAATGGAGGTCTCACGACGAGGGTTGATGACGAGAAAAGCGGCACTCGTTTGTACTCTTTCTTTCCCCGGAGTTCTTTGCAAGTTACAAATAAATCATCAATATCTAAATATTTTCTTCTGGTGGGATCTATGTCAACAAACCGTTTAATAAACTTTTGCCTACAAAGCGAAAGTCTAAAACGCGCTTCGATGTAACATATCACAGTCTCCCTTTGAGAGCTGCCTAGGCCCGCCGCTCTATGTGTTGTTGTCACTGACAGATGATGCGGCGAGGCTACCGGTTCCGATAAATGAAATGATGGAAAACATCCGAAGTTGCAATCGACAGAATATCTGAAGAAAACACTATATTAATATCTCGCTCTTGAAGCAACACGATACCTAATACAAAGCCCTCATAAAGTCTTTCGTTGTTGGGTATTTTTCCATCAAACAATTAACTGTGTGGTAATTGACTCGACTTGTTGCTACTTATCAAGCTTCCTGTATGGCAAATTACTAACAGGCCAAGTCTAACCTGGAACAAAGTAGCAAACTTAATACAGTTGATTGCCAATAAGCTGGAACATTCCAGGGTTGAGTCTCTCGAGTCTACCACATGACTATATAGGTATTCTAAGGTATCTGGTTTGATTATTCAACTATGGAATACTAGGCAGGTACTAGCATACTGTAGATAGTCGGAAGTGCGCAAGTGGACTCTATGGGCCGCCACTCGGACTCCAGTCTATTGATGCCCCTCAATCAACGAAGAGTCACTTCTTCTCCAGCGCCTCTGGCGTCTGCTATAGAATCACTTTAACCATCCGAATCTTTATTTCTCCAGTGGCGGTTAGACGGTGGGCAGAACAAGTCCTCGATTTCTCTTTTCCTTTGTGCCATTTCACGGTTCCAGCAGTCCACGACTACTCCCGGTTGTCTTGCATACGCCACTCAGTCGCTCGACGACGACGACGGTTTTGGGGAACATCCGCGAGTCGGTCAAGCTTCGCCATACTCGGTATTCTATCTGTGTAACTCTCCGTTGAGCAGAAGTCTCGACGACTATGAATTCTGCTTCATCCAACGCGTTGACCTCTGGAGGGAAAGTGATCAACAGTCCCTCGTCCCACGCTCCTGTTCAGCACCAGCAGTCGCAAACCACCTCGCCCGCATTCGAATCTAGTTCCCGGAGATCTAGCAATCAATCTGGTTCTGTACACGCCACGTCTCGAAACAATCAGACAAACAAGAAGCAACACAAGAACTCTCGGAAACCTAGGCTGTTCCAGGACGAGGACGCAATGGCAGAATCTGTAGGGCTTCTATCTCTCCAGGTGTTGTGCAAACTAACAAAACAAGAGTGCGATTAGAAACTCCAACGGGCGAAGAGGTCAAACGTCAATTACCCACCTTATGAACTTCAGTCTTCCCCCACGGCCACAGGACTACCGTAATACAATTGGACGCGGGACTCGGAGAGGAAATATCTATGGCATAGGATCTGGTCATCACTCTAGCGACAAAGCGAGGTAAGTTGAGAGCCCAGAAATGCTGCTCCGGCACTAACCGCTCCAGATATATCCATTCCAACTATCGATTCATTGTAAAACCACATGGAGATTACAAGCAGCAGGCAATCAATGCCGATCAACCCCTAGAATGGAGTGACGTACTTCAAATACTCGCATCTACAGTTTCTCAAGAGTCCGCATGCCCCATCTGCCTCTCCCATCCCGTTGCGCCCAGAATGGCAAAGTGCGGCCATATATTTTGCTTACCCTGTCTGATTCGATATATGCATTCAACGGATGAGACAAATCCTTTGCCGGAAAAGAGGGCTCGATGGAAGAAATGCCCAATATGCTGGGATTCTGTGTTCATCTCGGAAACCAAACCGGTGCGATGGTACACAGGACAAGAGGGGCCCCCTCCGAGAGAAGGAGAGGACGTTGTCTTGAGACTTGTCATGCGCCAGCCGGGAAGTACTCTTGCACTACCGCGGGACGGTGCTGATGTACTTGGAAAGTCGGAAGACATTCCTTGGTATTTTGCGGCCGAGGTCACTGATTACGCGCGAATCATGAAGGGCAGCGAAAGTTATATGATGGAGCAATTTGACCATGAAATTGCAGCTTTACAACGACAGGAGAGCGAAGATGAGCTGATGTTTGGAGAGGAGCCTCAGTGGACAAGAAAGGCAATGAACGCCGTCAATGAAGCGAAGGAAAAGGTCCGAGGAATTGGCGATCCGCCAGCGATGCCAAAACAGCCAACGGAGAAGAAGCCCAAAAGACAGCCTATTCAGTTCACATCGGTCAATGAAGATGCCCCTGAGATGTATTACATCCAACAAACGTCTCAAACCGAGATCAATTCATCCGCAGTACACATTCCAGCGCCATCCGCAGCACTAGCAGATAATCAAGTCGTGGAACCGTCACAGCCACATGCCCCAGAAGAAAAACCAGTATCATCAAATCCTAGAAATCTGTACCAACGACATCTAAATGAGGCTCACCACCCAGACGCTCCTTACTTTTTCTATCAGGCCCTATTGCATTACTACCTTGCTCCGCTAGATATTAGAATCCTCAAATCCGCTTTTGGGAACTTTGCAAGTTTCCCGTCGACCCTTCTTCCCCGCGTAGAGCGCGTTCAAACGGGTCATGTAATGGATGATGAATTACGAAAACGAACAAAGTACCTTTCCCATCTTCCTCATGGCTGCGAGGTTGGCTTCCTCGAGTGCAATTGGACGGATGTGGTGCTGCCTGAAGTCCTAGAGCAGTTCAAACCAGAGATCGAGAAGAGGAGGAAGAGAAATTGGGAGAAAGAGAATAGAGAGGAGAGAGATAGGGTTCGAGCTGAAAAGGCAGAGGATGATGCGCGCTGGGCGAGTGCCAGGAGAAAACGACCTAGTGTCTCGACGGAAAATTTCTCGGAGGACGATTTTCATCCTCTTGCTTCATCGTCTTTCGACCAGTCGAATGGTTCACCACCTTGGCCATCTCGTCAAGGCTCTTCGTTTGCCACACTGGCATCTCCGTCAACTAGTCCTAGCGCTCCTAGGACAGTCTGGGGAACTGCTCAAATAGCATCCACCTCCCCAGATCTTCAACCCCGCGGGCTCGGAAATGATGTGGATGATGGCTGGTTGCACTCGTGGGAACAAGAAATACAAGCAGAGAACGACTTGATTGCGCAAGTTCAAGCAGCGTCATTGTCTGAAAGTGGCCCCAGCACACCAACTATTGTCAGCGCCGCCGGGCAGGGAAAACGGAAGAAAGCCAAGAAGATAACGCTGATGTCCACCACTGCAAGGAGGGCAGCGTGATCTTGACGCATTATGTTCGGCATTAGTGGTGCTGTGCAGTCTGATCAACCGCCCTTTGCTTGCGATTTTGAGTTCTAGTCGCAGGGTCATTGTACTAAAGTTCATAGTTACATACTATATAGCGGCCGATCACATGGGCACAAATCAGGTTTAACACCACTGTCAGTCTCCTCCTATGTATGAATGCGGAAGCCTCGTTTCCATCGGTTCTGCACGTACTCGCGTAGTTGCTGTAAGTAAGCCTCCAGACTCTTCTGTGCTGATTAATCCCTGTCGCTGAGTAACTTTGGAATATCCCACTTTCACACATTCCGATTCGAACTCCAAAGATATGCTATTGATCGATAAGCTCAAAATCCAGGCTGCAAGATCAGGTACAATAAATAGAGGTCCCCCGAGTTACAAGGATCATTTCCGCCTCGCACTACATTACCAATTAAGGGAGGACGAAACTCCATCTAGCCACAATATAGTCGAGATCAATCTATTAGGTTGCAGGGTCCTTAATTGCGGCTGCGTCTATTAACACGTGTGTAAGCAGTAGGGGACTCGACCTAACCCGACCTGAAGATAGCGGGGTCGTCATGTAGCAAGGGTATTAATGGCGTCAACGAGGGGTCGTAAAGTCTGCGACACTCGAGACGGAAAGACACAACTCAAGCTTCCCTACCAGGAATCTAGTAGCAGTTGAGTAATATCTATCGCGGGAGTTGGCGCACTCCAGGCTTGAATTGGCATTCACAGATCACCCTCATTGGATCTCGCAAGAACGGTAGGCATGTGATCGCCCGAGATCATTCTGGACCCATTTATACTCCATTACAATGTCCCTGGCTCGTGGCCTTCACGTAATGCATGTGGGCTTAATAACACAGCTTCGTTGCCAGCCTTCCACCACTTACAATCGCTCAATTGCGAATTGCTGTTGTGGCCAGACCATACAGGGCATGCCGTTCAGCCGCGATAATGTTGATATAGCTGGGAAACATTTCAAATATGCAGGTTCCTGACAGCATAAAGAGTGAGCGAATTCCTCGTGCTGTGGAATTGGAAGCCCAATAAAAACACTCATCTCTTTGTATCTTTTGAACTTTCACCAACAATACCCCAGCAGCCGCCATCATGCCTTTCCCAGACGACCCAGCACTAATGAAAACAGCTGGAGACCTCGTAGCTAAATTGAAGGAAATCTTCCAAACACCTCCAGGATTTCGGCCAGGTAAGAATCTCAACATCCTCATTCAAACCAATACTAACCGTCTTCCAGCTCACGCAAAAGGAGAAATCCTCAGCGGAACCTTCACCCCAACCGCAGAAGCCTCCAAAATCTCCAAAGCACCACACTTCAACAACACCAGCACCCCGATCTGGGCACGCTTCTCCAATTCCACCGGCTTACCCGCCATCCCAGACACAGATGGCAACGCCGACCCCCGCGGCATGGCCGTCCGATTCATCCTCGGTGACCACATCCACACAGACGTAATCGGCCATTCCACGCCCTTCTTCCCCGTTAACAAAGGCGAAGACTTCCTCGCTCTCCTCCAAGCCATCTCGACCTCACCCCCAGACGCACCACACCCAACTCCAATTGAGACGTTCCTAGGCTCCCACCCAGCGGCGTTGGCGTTCGTCTCAGCCCCTAAACCAGCGCCGATCTCGTACGGAACAGAGCAATACTGGGGGATCAACGCGTATAAACTCATCGCGGAAGATGGCAAGGAGACGTTTATCCGCTATCAATTCATCCCCGACGCCGGCGTATCTACCTTCACCGCCGACGAAGTCAAAGACAAAGATCCCAATTTCCTGCACCAGGAACTCGAAGAGCGCTTGTCCAAGGGTGCGATTGGGTTTAAACTCGTCGCGCAAGTTGCGGCAGAGGGAGATCAGGTGAATGATGCTACGGTGCACTGGCCTGAGGACAGGCCAATTGTGGAATTGGGCAGTTTGAAGTTAGAGAAGGTGCTCGAGGACAGTGCGAAGGTGGCTAAGGTTACGATTTTTGATCCGATTCCGAGGGTGAGCGGGGTGGAGGCGAGTGAGGATCCGTTGTTGGAGATGAGGGCTGCGTTGTATCTTATTAGTGGGAAGGAGAGGAGGGCTGCGTAGGGTGGTGATGGAGGGGGAGGTTTGAGTTTGGATTGTTGGTTGTTGGGATGGAGTTTTGAATATGATCTATACCAGGATGAATGTCATAAATGTCTATGTTAATCAATTCCGTTTTCAATGATATTGTGCCATGGTTGTAATCCCCTGGAGATGGAGCGTGATCTACCGAAATCTTCCCAACATTCCAAACATACTCTTCCAAAAAATATTCCAATATGCTTACATACAACATACAAATTATCATAAATCCATCATCAGTAGACATGTAACTAAAACACACCAGGCCGTCCTACAAAAACCCTAATTTCCTCAATCTACGTCATCTCTCGGTGGAAAAAATAAGCGGTAGTCGAAACACAATTATTTCTTCGATTTAGTTGACGAACTAACGTATATTTAATGGATTGACTCAGTATATTATCGCTAAAATGAATATATCAATTACAAATCATAATTTCACGTCCTCTCTATCTCTCTGATTCTCTCAAAACCCAAGCACATCAATCAGTGAAGAAACCCAAACAAACCGCCTCTCCATAATTCTCTAGATCTACCACCCTCTAGTATCACTTCTCACCACGCTTACCCATAAACCCTAAGTATAAGCTACGGTAAGCGAGCCCCCTTCCGTATCCCGATGATAGCTAGATTTCTCATAAGGAACGACGTGATATATAGCCAAGTCGAGTGGGTCAGTTGAATTTTGTTTACCATGCTGAGTTTACTAGATGTGTGTCATCAAAGGAGTTTAGAAGATATTATTTTGAACGTGAGAAATGTGCTCAAGGTGACATACGCTAGGCTACGGCCTTAGGATATGGAGTGAAGCGAGAGTGAGGTGAATCATGGGTTATACTTGCAATCAGTCTATTCCAGCACAGTGATATTGGAGCTGCATACTGTTCAACCAAATGTGAATACTGTACCAAAACGCTACAATCCAATTTGCCGTATCATTCACCGCACTCCCAAAATTCACTCTCAAACTCAGCTCACTCATTCACACCATACCACTCGCTTCCGTCGCCTCACGTCCTAACCCTCCCTCTTCACCCTCCTCGCTCAATCCCGCTAAGCCTCCTCCCCTCCCCACAACTGACAAACTAAACCTAACCTTAACATCATAAGTCCAAACCCGTCAAATTATTTTATCCTAGCGTAGCTTCCCTCATCCAATCCACCTACAAATTCATCACCTTCTAGCGGAGATCTACATTTTCGACACAGATCGGTCTAGAACCCCCTCACGCAGAATGAATGATAATTTCGACGTCACACCTCACAATGGCTGCGCAGTGGAGTGACAAAGTGTGCTTTTAGCATACTTAAATCTCCTCCTCTCTGCGCTCACCTCTTTCACCGCGGATTCATTCAGCGCAGCGACTCTTCACTCACTCACAATTTCTAACATCTAATCAACACTCACAACATCGCATTTCCACTTCTCAAAACCTCAGCATTTACACGACACCAGTTAAGTCATTACCACCTGTTCGAAAAGATGTCTCCACTCAGAGGCATCCTCAAGAAACCGGAACAAAATGACGATGAATGTTTGGCGGATTCTCTCTACGGCGCTCACCTTCCCCTCGAGCTCCCAATGATCCCCGTCATGCTCCTTCCAGGAGATACGAATTTGAACCATTTTTTCGGCTTGGTTGGATGGGTTCGATGCTCGTACGAAAGTCTCGACTATGAATCGAGGAAGTCAGTTCCTGAGGTTGTCCGCAAGCGCCTACTATCAGCGAAAAATGTAAGTAACTGTCTCCTCAATTCTACTTCTTACGAGTATCGGGAAATCAGCTAACACTATATTGGCATAGTGGTCTGGAAGACTGCTCAAGAAAAATGCAGACGATATACCTTGCGACACGAGAGATACTCGGGTGAGATGGACTGATGAGGTGGTCTTCAACGAGCGGCCAAGAAGGGATCGCTCCCGCGCACTCAGTCTCAACGTGGAAAACGTAACCGTTCTTAAAGCCGTCTCGTTGCCTCTTGAATGTGGCGAAGTTCCTTCTGTCTTGCGCCAAGAAATCGATATCATCTGCAACACGTCTTCCAAGACTTGCGTGGCAGAAAACGTGTTCATCAAAATCGGACTCGACGAGGACACGTACTGGAATCTCAAAGACAAGCGGGATAAACTTGATTCGGAAACCAACAGCGTGGACCAAGAAGCTGAGGAAGATGAAGACACCGATGAAGAAGCTGAAGAAAAAGGTCCTTGGGAGGGTACTCCGATATGTGATAGCGACGATGAGGATCTTGAGCTACAACCAGAATATCCAACCAGCATTAATGACTGTGATATTTATGATGCACAAGAATATTCGGAAAGCGAGTGCGACTCTGATGCTGGCCTTTGGTACTTGGAAAGTTCACCTAGCAGCGAGGTTGACTCTGGCGATGGTCTTTGGCAACCAGGCGATCCAGTCAGCGATGACTCTGATGAGTATTCATCTGAAGAAGACGGCATCTATAACGACATTCCTGTAAACGGATCGAAAAAAGAGGAGGAACATCAACTACACCCTGTCGCACCATATGATTAGACACATGCCTCGTTTCGGAGGATCGAGCCTGACGGGACGAAGACGAGATGTTGTAACTGGTTCACAGTGCCAATTTGGAGTTTCCAGCAATCGACGAAGAAGCTCATCAACCATCCCAATACCGTACGAGCTTCACGAAAAATATGTCCTCTGAAACAACCGGAAGATGGAAAGAATGCTGTTTTGGAAATGTAATCAAGTCATGTCGTCTGAGTTGGAGCCTTAGCAAAGATCGCGAGAGTTTAATGCAAGTATTATTGGGGATATAAAGGCGTTTTGGGTTGACACTGTTTTGTATCTTAGTATTTGAATCGCAGGATTGTTGGATACAACTTACACAAATCTCCCCAATTTGCGGACCGAGGTCTTTAAAAGTGCGATTCGCCATGCATGAGTGCGACTCTAGATACTTGAATAATGTGCTTCTATGGGCAGTCATTGGTACAGACGAGAAAGTAAGGTAAACAAAGTGAAGATCCCGGAGGTCCTGTACACCTGCATTAGCTCCCGAATAGGAAGTCAGCGACGTTGTGTAACCCCGACATACGGCATCTCACAAGTATTCTAGGAAAGAACCCCTCATTCCCTCTTCCCCTCCCCTCATCCATATTCCCAAAAATTCATAATCCCTTCTCAGACATGTCCGCCCTCCCTAATGGCCTCCGTGACATCAACCGCTTCATCACAACGCACAACGCAGACGGCAAAGCCATCTACTCTTCAGATGTACCCGAGACTTCAAAATGGGTTGAAAACGGCACAAACATGAATTTCTTCCTTGGTTACACCACCCAAGAATTCCCTGTGTCGTTGAACCCGTCGGATTTTGGGGATGAGATGTCTACGCCGAAGGATATAGTGAGTTATAGCAAGGAACTGGGAAATCCGCCGGGATTGGCTAAGAGCACTGGTAAACAATTACCCTCTTCTTTACCACATACCTAAATCCCATATTTATGATTTGGACTTCTCTGAAATGAACAGGCACCGTATGTCGGTTCGTCGACTTCAGTCCCTCGATCCAGCCGATCATGCACCGCACGCAATCGCTCGACTACGGCGTCGTGCTCGAGGGGTCCATGGAATGCATTCTTGACTCTGGAGAGGTGCGACGGATGGAGAGGGGCGATGTGTGTGTGCAGCGGGCGACGAACCATGCGTGGCGGAATGTTACGGAGGGGGGGAAGTGGGCTAGAATGATGTTTGTGTTGACGGCTAGTGAGGCGCCTGTTGTGGGGGGGAAGACGCTGGGAGAGGATTTGGGGAAGGATATGCCGGGGAGTGTTAGGGGGAGTGAGTGAGTGGAGGGGTGTGTGGACGGGTTGTTATACTTGGATTCGCTGTGGTTGGCAAGATTAACTTTGGAATGAAGTGATAGAGATACGACGCAGATTACCGCCGCGTAGGGCAACAATAGAGATGACAGTGATAAGCAGAGAAAGGGAAAGCCTAAGAATGTGATAGGCAGCCAAAGCTTCTCTGATTCGTGACAGATCGAACTTTGTACCATATAATCATATCCACAGACACTATCTGATCTATATGAATAATTCAAAGGCTTCAATCACACGCCCAAATCCTTCTCAACCTGAGCCCTGCAGATAGGATGATAGAAATCCTTATTCTTCTCAAACGTAGCAACTGCCAATTCTCTATCCACCTTCTCCAGCTTTCTGTAGAGAGGGCGAACGAACTTCATGCGCCCAACCTTGCCAAGTAGCTCAGCAGTAGGCTGATACACACTCTCATCTTTGGAGGTCAGGCCGATACCAAAGTAACGCGAAGAAAGCTCGACGTTGCGGGTGTTGGTCAGAGAGTAAGCTGATCCCATTGCCTTGGATTGAGATACTGGAATGGGGGTCTTGAAAAGTTGGATCTTCTCGAGGAAGACGACGATTTGGTTTGCGGACCAGCCTTCGACGTCGGAGGGTTGTGGTTTGTAATCCTATTTCGAGTTAGTTTGATAAAAAAAAAAAAAAAAAAAGGGTCAATGAGTTGACATACGTTTGACTCCCATTTATCCGCCAAAGCGTAACATTTGTCGACAATACTTGTGTCGAAATCTGGCTTTGGTGGTAGACCAGGTTTGTAGAACCAGCTGTCCCAATCTACTGCCTCTAACGCCTTCGATGCCTCCTTATCTGAAGCAAAAAAGTCGAGTAGCGTAGCTTTGAAGTCATACGAATCAAGAGACTTCTTCATCCAGGTTGTGAAATAGTGGGGGATGAATTTATCCCATGCAGATTTGCCAACCAACTTCTCCAAATAGTACAGGAAGTGAAATCCTTTCTCGTATGGGATGCTACTGAAAGCATCATCGGGATCTTTGCCCTTGAGATCAATGACGAGCTTTGTGAACTCGTGGTCATCTCCGTACTGTGCCACGGAATCTTGCAATGCTTTCCATCCGATAATGGCAGAGAAATCTCGATGCGGTTCACCATGAACAGCGGCTCCGATTCTTCTCTCAAGGTAAGTTGTCCATCCTTCGTTCAACCAGAAATGCTCCCAGCTAGCGTTGGACACCAGATTTCCACTCCAGGAATGACTCAACTCGTGAGCGATGACATCCACGTTCTCACGATCGCCACTGATGATAGTGGGTGTAGCAAAGGTAAAGACTGGATTTTCCATTCCTCCGTATGGAAAGCTTGGTGGAAGTACTAGAACATTGTATTGAGTCCATTTGTATGAGTAGATCAGCTTTTCTGCGACCTGGATGAACTTTTCTGTATCTGCTTCCAACTCCCACTTGGCCTCCGAAAGCTCCTCGGGACCTGTAGATACCAGAGAACGTGGACCAATAGAAGCAGTCGCAATATCACCAGATGCAAGAGCAAATAGATAAGACGGCATTGGAATCTCTTGCTTGAAGGAGTATTGTAATGTTCCTAATTCGTCATCCTTTCCATGTTCGAACAGAGTAGCACCAGTTGCCAGACCACTGGCAACAACAGGCAATGGAGAACGGATCTTGAAGTCATAGGTGCTCTTCACATCTGGTGTATCCTGGCAAGGGAAAACGGATCGATTGTGGATAGCCTGGCATTGAGAGAACATGTACGGGAATTTCTTGTTTGATGTTTGAGATGGTGCCATCCATTGCAGAGCAGTACATTTCTCTGTAGTTGCAAGTGCAATAGCAACTGCTACGATGGTGCCTTTGGCGGCTCCACCTGGTACTCTTACACTCAAGGGACTGCCATATGGCTCAAACCGATCGGCAACTTTCCAGTGGTCGGTTTTACTGCCATTAACGCTGATCTCTTGAATCTGAATAAATTCGAATCAGTATGTATCAGAAGATGAAATTTCATAACGGTTGTAAACCCCGTAAAGAGAAACTTCAGAATATCATCCATGTACATAGCAGTATGGGATGGCTTTGAATTGACTTACATCGAGGAAGCTGGTATCAAGAATGATCTCTTCAGATTCTTTCTCGGTGATACTCTCCAATTGCAAGGTGACTGTCCCGGTTAGGCGCTGCTGCTTAAAATCAATGTCAAGATCGGCAATAGTGTGCTTTGTTCTCCAATTGTTGTAGTTGGAGAGCGTGTTGGGATCACGTGGCATGTTGATGCTTGCTGATGCCATGGTTCGTACGAGCATTCTCTGACCCAGACGAATCGGGATTTGACGAACAGCTGCACTTGCAAGATAGAGTACTGATTTCATCTACTATGAGCAGATGATGGAGATATCATACAAAGTATCATAAGAGGATATGCAGAGATACGTTTCTTTTCCGACGACTTTTTTGTGATACTTGGTGTTGAACCTGCCTGAAGAGGCTAGAGGCAAATATTGGACCACAATATGTATGCCTTCGATGGGATAGAGTTGCCTAAGGTATCAATTGTCACGATTTTTGCAATCCACGTGATAGTGTTCACGCATCATGTGACACTAAGAAATCGCCGATTGACAAGGCTTGAGCGAAACATGGGATTCTTCAATGTTTGCCATATGATCCTTCAGACACAAAACTCTTGTGAACTGCTCCATTCGGCTTGACAGCGCGCACAATTTCTATTCATATCTTTTGCAGTACCAGCCGACCGGCATATCGAGATGACGAGCATTCCGTCCATCTGGAGCATGCAAGATCTGATCTGGAAACCTGGTTGAGCCCACGTAAACAGAAGCAGCTCGACGGCTCGTCTCTGCTTATTTTCTACAATTGGGCTTACGACTTACATCGTGACAGTGAAGTGTCAAGACTCGTCACGAACAACCGCAGCTACGTTGAACTCCCTAGTTCTTTTCGTTCAGTCCATTTCGTTCCATTTGTTATTGTTGGCATCAGAGCTTCGGAAGGAGCAGCCTTGCAACTCGTCTCGTGGCATTGAAGGGGTGGTCAAATTACGCGATGTTTGTGTTTTCATCCCATTGTTTCTAGTCTTGGCTACTGTTGGAAGTTCGCTTCAGAAGAAGAAAAGAAGCTATTGGTGTTTTAGAAGGCGTTCCCGATAGTCTGCTTGTCATCCTTTTATTTTGTGCTACCTAGGCTAGGTACGAAATCATATGAGCAACAACCTAAGCCCCGTCTACGCGAAGACTCAGGATCTTCACTTGTAATGCTCCTTCAGCACTCAGCTGCCCCGACTCTGTCCTTTTTCTCTGTCTTCTTTGATTTGAAAAACAACTTTATTCTTCCTTGCCGTTACATCCTAGCTGGGAATCGTGGTCATATTGGGGGCAGGGCAAGTGCAAGCTTCAAGCTGGCTGAAGATCAAGGCAGATCTCGAATCCTTCAGCACGCAACGTTCATCCGATGTTTATTTCTCATGTTTTCTATACCCACCGTCTCGTTTTCCTATACCTGAAACCAGCTTATGGTATCGCTTGATGCTGGCTGGCCGAATAAATATTTCATCTTGGTCTATGCTTCCCACGGGCCACAGGAGCATTTCAAGGTGTGATTCTGAGTTTGTGCGAATGGTTATAGTATCACCACACTATCGTTTAAAGATACGTTTATTGATTCCTCAATCAAAAATGTAGGAAAGGATCTTGATACGCTAGCTGCGAGAGTAGATGGAGAACGTCATGCAGTCGTGTGTCTTCATGGGGCATTAAGTCATACTCATTCAAGGTCTGGAATCTGCTGCTTGTTGGGTGCTAGGTCTCTCCTATTATTTAGTCTAGATCTTGCCAGTTCTGAAACTCCATATGCCCGTTTTTTGCTGTGGCTATGTCAGTGATACAAACTAGCGAAAATATCTATTTGATAAACCTGAACTTGAGCGCCTACCGAAAATCACATCTTCGATCTGATGATCGTGTACTATGTCATGAACACAAGTCGAGATCGAGTTTGACAGTAAATGTACTTTGCATCGAATAAACCACAGAACATACCTTGAAATTGAGGAAACCGGCTTCAAGCGATGCCAAGACGGGCCTCTAGGCCTTCCAAAGTTGCTTCGGGACCTAAGCGAACAGCAAATCTGACCTGAAACCTGGGAACCATTTCCGCTGCGAGGGACATCGGAGGAAACACCACATAGAAACGCTCATCTCCTTACTGGAAACGAGTCCAAATGCTTTATTTGTGCGGAGATAGCTATTTACAGATTCCCAATGATAGTAAAATCATTGCTGGGGGCAGGCTGAAATACAACCAACAATGGGATTTACCTTTTCGAATATCAGGTAAAAACTGTGTGCACATAAACTTACAAAATCAATCACACCTAAACGCACACACCGAGTACTTCGGCAGCATGCAACACGCCGTTTCTCAATCGGCAGGTACGGTCACCACAAATGTACTTTCATCACACAATCTTCAATACTCGACACGGGACCACCGCTGTCATTTGTTGGATCCGGCGCTCTGAAGATCTATCTGTCTGCATCTGCATCTGCATCGATAACAATACTGCTACCGCCTACTCAATCACACTTCATTCGGCCGTACAGTACAAAGCGTCAATGGTACTGCACTGACACTCCGTCCAGCAAAACGTACAAAATCTCCCAAAATCTCACCCGCAGTATCCCAACACGGGGTGGAAAGCCGCAGGCTTGGCATCACTTTGGGCTATGCTCTTACAGCTTGTACGATGCTGTGCCTTTACTCAGCATGGAAACGAACCGAGACGGATGAAAAGCACAAAAATTAGGTCAGGAATTGCCCTTCTTTGTGAAACTCCTGAGTCGAGCCTCGTAGGGCTCTTCCTGATGGATGAATGCAACATTAACCTGGAGAAAACCCACCACCACAATTCGCTGCAAACATGCGAATGCGGGTTGTTCTTCCTCATCCTAAAATCGTAAATCCCATCAATCCTGAACTGGAAATCCCCCACGCAGAGAGATGAATCATCAAATTAAAGAAAAACACCGTTGAGAAACGAGGCCTTCAGAGTTTCCTTTTTACATGTCCCACTATGGTTCTCCTATCCGATCGCTATCACTCCAACCCAGCAGCCGCACCCGGAAAGACTTTTGTTTCGGAACCACGTTGCACGGTTCCAGGCCCGGGGAGCTGTTAGTATTCTGGTCAAGCCTTTTTTGACCCCTCTTCTGCTTCCCTAGGCTATATGCTGAATGGCGTTATAGACCAGGGGGGCATGCAAGAACATCTTGGTTAACCCGACGCCTCTCTGTGGCTCTGAGGTAAACGGGCATACGAGAGGGTCACGATTTTGTCTGCTTCTGGGCGTGTCCCTTTTGTATATCTTGCATTGGGGAGGTGCATAATGCACGGCCGTTTATGCAGTATGTTTGTAATAATGTGACATTGTGACGAGATGCTCAGTGCTTCTGAACATCACCCGCAATTCATCACATTGTGTGATGGACGAGTGAAAAGGACTCGCTCGAGTGATGCGCACAGTGCATGCACAACACCATTTCACAGTTGCTCCGACCGACGATGATATGCTCGCTTATGGGGGGGTTTCCTTTTCTTGAAAACGACCCATTCTTTGACTCGCTTGGCTCCAGTGAAAAGATAGGATGGAAAAAACGGCATTGAAAACCTTGAGGGTTCAGGAAAGCAAAGAGAGTCTCTGACGTTCTGGGCTGGATATGATACGTTTTTGTTTTATTCCTTTTCCTGGTAGGAATTTTCATTGGCGCATTGTGAGAAACAAACGATCTGCAAAACGCTTCATGCAACCTGCGAACTTGTTGTAGTCGCTTCTACCGAACCGGAATTTAGGGGATTTGGGAAGGAGATAGCGGGATATGCAAAAAGCAATGTGGGAGGAAACGGTCGGTAGAAGTGTTTCGAAACTTTTTGTGGGTGTGTGGCAAACGGGAACTTGATTGAGAGGGAGAGGGTATGGAAAGAGGTTGCTTTCTGGCAAACTCTGATAGTATTCGTTGCTACTTGGTAGAGCTACTTGATATCCGAACTCGTCATGTAGAGCCACTTGAGCTTCTTGGTGCCAATTTCCAAGCAGTTTGGCTAATGCTATGAGGGGATCTATAATCGCTGCCTCTTCGGTAAGTCGGAATGATAGACCACCAAGTTCCAACTGTTAGAACAGTATATCAGAAATCACAGCTTCATATCAGACCACGTTGTGAGATGAAGTCAGTCCTAACCCTGTGATCGATCATATACTGATCTGCTGAAAATCGAGACTTTGGGATTCTGAAACTTCATGACGGAGATTCAGCAAAGCGAAACATTATGCTGTAAGGTTTATGATCTGCTGGAATTTGTTATTATCAGGCATCATCATTTTTCAGGGTCTTCACAGTAACTGGGTCTTCTTGAGATGTCGTAGTGATAGGTCAAGCTGTTAATAATGAGTTTGTGATTTTGAAATTTGAAGTTAATGTCTCAATTTCTGATGGCAACCTGGCTACTCCCTCCAAATGACATCAAGCTTGGAAGAACTAGATCTTGCAGAATTTGATGCCGTATTAATCAAGTCAGGTTTTCCACTCATATCTTCCAGTCCTTCTCAGTAACTCTCGTCGTCAGTGAGCTTGACAAGATACTCCCTGATTTAAGCGAGAAACAATGCCACAAAACTCAAATGCCACCTCCCATCTCAGACTGCCGACGTTGAATCAACATAAACTCAAAAACCCCAGATCCACGATTAGATAGCTGAGTCGTGATAGCGACGATCCTACAAATGTTTCGAGCAGGTTGAGCCGGCTCAAACTCTAAATGATGCCACGGGAGTTCCACGTTTTGGAACAATAGAAGCCGTAGTCTGCTGACTGTGGCCTATTCTGAGACCAGCACAGCGACCCGAACGGCGACCGACTCGACATACCTACTAAACTACGAAACCGTCATGAGGGGTGCAGGATTTGATATGTCAAGCACAAATATACTTTTGAGTAGGACGCCCACGTGTCTAGAAGCTTGAAACTCGAGGTAGGGCGCCGAAATGTGAGGTTAGACATCGAGTATACTGGTCATCATTACTCGCACTCGAGTACAATAATAGTATACAACTTGTTACTGGCATCACAGAGAATGACCCCGCAATATCGGACTATTGTTTAATTGAAGGGCCATACATGTCCGGACCTGCAGAAACCGTTGGCTATTAAATTTCTAAAATGCCCGATTGTTTCGACGTGCGAATGACAGAAGTTTTCAGGTCAGACCTCTTTTACTCCGCCATAATCTGTTGCCGCATCGACGAGTTGCCTGGATGATGTCCAAAAGAGGGTTTTGACAGATGGAGCTTTGACAGTGATAATCGTCAGATAGCAGAGATAGGAAGGATCTTTGTCAATTGTACCACGGCGGGATGTGTCTGCGACTCTGCGTTGCAATACGGCATCGTTGTCGGGGAGAGAACAGTGCGCGACGTGACCGGAAGAGAAGTCTTGCTTCCAGTAATGCAGGCACTTGCAGCTTGCAGCGAGATGTTGCTGTGGTAAAGATCTGTGCGAGATGAGAACCCTAATGTGACGGGTAATAGCAGAGGGTTTATGTGAATCGGAGGTTAAAGAGTCATGGAAAAGTGTAAATGGTCGTCTCGTGATGTTGTGGTGGTGATGTGAAGAATGATCGGATTAGATGATGCAGACGATTGAGTGTGTCAATGGTAGTGATACAGTTAAAGACCACCGGCCCATATCAAAATTCTAGTAGCAATTAATTTGGTCATGGATTTATTGTTGTCCTAAAGTTCTTGCTTGAGTTTTGACAATTGATCATTCGGTCCTTTCCACCAAGTTTCCTTGTCGTTGTTGTAGCGAGCTGGTATCTCGGTGATAGTGATGAGAGTCGAGGGTTCTTTGCATGAAGATAATGGAACTCCAGCAGCTGGAAAAGAAGAGCCCCACCAGATTCTAGTGGGATTCAAAAATCGTAGTACCGACCACCGGCAGTTGTTGAAACGTTCAATTGGAGAGTCATGGTGGTTCACGAGTTGTTTCTTATCAATTGCAACAAGCGGTCGTGTTTTTGATATGGACCCTGAATATCGTTTCAAGACGAACCGACCAATTCAGTTATCTTTAAAGACCACGGGACCAATCTCTCTCACGGCCCAAGATCAGCATTCCGTAAAGCTTTGTTAAATTGTTAGACAGCGGCCCGATCGATGATCTCGAGATAGTGCTGTTCAGAAAGTGCTGTTTGGACCAAGTTTTGGTCCTGACTCTTTAGCTTGCGGAACTCGTCTGCGATTGCTCAATTCTAATTACAACTCTAATTGAGCCTTGCGAGTAGCTCTCCGGAATAACGTGTGAAAGACGCATACACATCGAACGAATCGTACATTTTAGGTTTCTCGATGGACTAGAAAGTATGTTGGGCACGTACGTCGTCGATTAGGTTGTACGCTATTTCTTGCTCCCATCGGTAATAATTCATGATGATGAGGATTTACCATTTGATACACAAGCACGTTTGGACATTTAGAGATCGGCTCCTCAGCGAAGCCTAAAAACTCCCAGGGGCATTCGTGCGAGTGCTGTGATCTATCCGCAGACAGCCCTGAGCTTGCAACAGATCTTTTACCAGGCCCAGGATGCTGGAGAATCGCACAAAGAACACCACAATATGGATTACCACATCCAAAAGTAGAGGACCGAAGATGACACTGCGTTCCGAGCTGTTAGAGATAACGTACGGAGGTTTACAAGTAGGAAGCCTTCCAAACAGAAACAAAATCGGGCCTGAATCGTGAGAGGAGTTCTGAAAATACGCGGGCCAGGAGGAAGTGTACTCCGTACAGCAAGGCCATCGGGTTCTTGACACTATCACCGTTTGAGGTCCTTCGCCTGTTTGCATCACAGCGTTTTCTCAGGCCCTGCTGACGCACAGACGAGAGCGGCGTTGAAGTCTCGATTGAGTTGGCTTGCTCCGTCCACAAGGGCATGGCTGAAGCCTCCGAAGCGAGCTGCTTTGTTGCCCCTCCTTTCGAGGTGCGTCTTTCCAGGATTCGAGATTCCAGACTTCAAGATATCTCCGATGCCTGGAATTCGGCATTGAAATTGTAGTGGGTGCTCTGCTGTGATATAGGAGTATATTCTAGGAATTTTCAAGTATTAATGTTGTCATTGTGAGAGAATAGCAATTGCAGAGTTCTTGCTAAAGCCTGGAGTCTTGAACGGATATTAATGAGGGGTCAAGACTGGATCTCTGTTTGGGCTCACAGACACAAGCGTCGGAGTCTATTTTAGGTGGACGTGCTGGAGTTCTAGCTGGAACTGGTGGTTCTAGCTGAACTGTATTCGAACATCGAGTACTTCGTGAACAGCTAAAACGGCTCTTTTTCGTGGTTTTCAAGACTATCAGTGCACATCCTAATATCTACGAGTCAGAATGCGTGCTGAGATATGGTGAATACCCACGAAGCACGTTCGTATAAACAAAATGAACGTTAGATACCGAACATCCCGACTTCGTGGCTTCATTGAAGCACGATGAAGCACCAAAGCACGATGAGGCACGAGTCCGACGGGCATAGAGCTAAACAATGTTCCGCAAGACATATCTCAAGCGCAACGCATGGCTTTAGACGTTTAGGAGATATCTCCTTCAGCGCCGAGCAGCTAGAGAAAGTGCAGTTGATTGCTGTGGTAACCTCTTGATGATCTTAATGAAAATCATTGAACGATGCATCGTTTTTTGAGAAATGCCAATTTTTTGTTTCCTTATTTGCAAAGCTTAGCTGTCTGGTCGGTTGAGTTCGGAGTCGCATGGAGTAAGAAAACTCTTCTTGGAAATGCTCTCTCGACCAGCATGCCCCACAGCTTCTCTCACAGCGCACTGAGCGCAGGTCAGGTCACAAACCAAATTCAACGTCTGTGCAATAATCAGACCATATGAAATACAGGCAACAAGCCAATCATGGTCAAGCCGCGAGCATATCGTTATTGCCACTTGAATTCCGCACTCGGACTGAAAAGATGATCAACGAGGCATCAAGAAGCAATCTGCTTTTCTCATTACTCGAGACTCAAACACAGCACAACACGGAACCAAACAGTTGCCGATTGTCTCCGGACTCGATGGACTTGATCTTCATTGAAATGAATGAATCGTGAGTTATTCATGCAACAGTGCCCCTATTGCTCAGTGATTGGGACCTCCCAGCACACTGTAGAGATCTGGGCTGGGCTCTTCAAGAAGAACAGGTACAGTGCCTGTCATCCAAGCTACGAATACAGTACGAAGTACGAGTACAGTGCGATTTACTGCCCCGAGCCTGAACAGATTCGCCAGCGCAAGAGAGGGCACAGTACTGCAGTGGCTCGTGAAGAGGCACTACGGACCAGTTCAACGTGCACGGTTCGACGACAGAGTGCATTTTGGATCAGGCCTCGACTGAGCAAGCCCTCTAGGACCCCTACCAGCTGGGCCATGGTGTGCTATTCGCGGGTTAAGCTTAAGCGGTTTCATTCTTCGACAAGGGAAGCTCCCGTTTCTCCAAACTTGTCGGCTGTGCGTTGTTTCCCCTTGCGATTCCCTCTGCTCTTAAGCGAACCCCCCTCTCTGCCTGGTCTCAAACGCCACAGCGTTCATGTTTCCCCCAAGGGGCCCCGTCAGCCAGGGTCGTGAGCTCTCCTGCTCATCCGGCACCATCGCTGGACTCGGAGGCTAGTATTCCTTGTCGCTATGCTCCTTATGTGAACAGGGAGCTGCTTAATAAAAAGAAACCGCTACGGAATCCTGGGGTCGGTCCAAGTGTCAGTCAACCCATAAGTATATCCTCCGCCTGCTCTCATCCAAAAATTATAGTTTTTTGCCGCAGTGCATTGAGGTCAAGTCGATCTGGCATTGCTATTTTTACTTTTCCGTGTCCGAGTGTGAAGGTTATTTTCCAATTGTACAGTTCTATCAACGTTGTTGTGATCGAGCAGGATACCTCGACCAAACAGCAATAATGGCCCATATCGCCGATTTCATGGTCGACGCCGACCTTCCCAACAGTGTTGGACTAAATAACTATATTGCGAGAGAGGTCTCACCGGCACCATCTTACGAAGCAGTCAGTTTACCAACTATATCTTGCGATTGAGAAATCTAACAGAGATGTAGCCTTCCGATGGTCCATGCCCAGAGGAAAAGGAAAAACACGTTTGGAGGATGCATCAACCATCGGAGACACGAAGATTACATTTATTTCCATCGAGAGAGAAGTTATCAATTGGGTCTGCAGGTCGAAAAAGCCCGGATACCGCTAGCCAAGCGTCCAAGGCAGGAGAAAAGGCGAGTGGGGAGAATGAAAGATCTACACTCGGTAGTGCTTTGAGGTCGAAGTCCAAGGATCCAAAGCCGAAGGAGCAATCGCTTGTTCGAAGACGTAAAGTATCGGTTCCAGAACTTGGCCCGATGACAACAGTTCAGGAGGTTGCCATGGATTCTCGTGAGTGATACACTGATATCAGAGAAGTCAAGTACTAACATATTACAGCCACTATTCCTGGCCGACCTGCACTTCACGAGCGATCAATCAGCGCACCAGGTAACAGTTGGAAGCAGCATATGTTTGGCGAGAGCATGGTTTCGTGTATTTCTGAACCTATCCTGGACGAGATATTGGAGTTGGATCTATTGGATGGAAGCAGTGAGCCATCTAACCCAACAAGAACAGCATCCGCTTCACCCAGTCGACGACCGCTATCACCAAAATGCTTAGCTCCACTGGTCATTCCCCCAGGAAGTAGCGCTCAGCCTCAGTACATTTCACAAAGATTCAGACAACGTTCTGAAAGTACACCACCAGATGTTCCACCAAAGTCAGCCAGGATGAAGGAACATTCTCCTTTTGGGCGATTCTCACCTTTTACTCCTGGATCTGCCTCAACTACAAGCCTCTCAATATCTACAGTTGCATCTTCAATTGGTGCTACACCTGTTTGGACCCCAGACTCTCAAAGGTCGCCAAAGCAGTGGGCTTCACCTACTCCTTCCAGCTCTGTCGCAAGCCCACAGGTCTCCCATACCCGTGGACAGTCTGAATCCTCCCATCCAGGACATCTCAAGAAGGGTGATAAAGTCAGTGGACACAGAAGAGGGGAGTCAGAAACATCCATCATGGACAGAGGTCGACCAAAGAAGCGTCCAGATGGCAGTCCCGTAAAGCAACCAACTGGAACTACAACCACCCGGAGTCGTACAGCTAGCAGATCAAGCCCAACCGAAGAGCAAAAGGCTTTCGCAACATTGCCTCAAGGTATCCGTGCAAGCAACGCAGCTTCAGTAATGCCAATGTCCGAGATTGAAGCTCTCCGCAAACAAGCGTTTGGTCAAGCCTCTCGCTTCGACGTCCTCTCCTCAAAGGACGTCGACAACCTCTCAAGAGTATGTTCTTCCACCATCCCATCATAACTCATACTAACAATGTCCAAAGGAACTCCGGTCTCTCGACGAACGCTGTGAATACCTCACCGCCACCCACCGCTCCCTCCGCTCCGGCCGTCGCAACCTTCACGACCGCATCTGTTCCTTCCTGCGCTCTCCCCGCGTCGCCCGCTTCTCGCACGAATCCATCCTCAAGCAAGAAGAAGCGCTCTCAGAACTCGACTCCTCCATCGACGACTGGGTCACCAAGCTCGAGCACGCAGAGAACAGACGCACTCGCGTCCGTCAAAAGCTCCTCGAACACGTCGCTGCCGCTCTGATCCTCCAGCCTTCAACACTTACTACAGGCGAGTACACACCACCACGCTCACCCACCAAAGCCCACTCACCACCGCGTTCACCTGTTAAATCCCAATCCCCTCAACGTCTCGCTGAGGTCGTCAAGGTCAGCACCGAGACGTTTCCCGTCCGTCGCACGACTCGCATGAGCGTTGAGAGCATTAAGATCTACGCCGACAACGACGTCTACGCTCTCCTCGCCGACGTCGAAGACGAGATGAACCGTATGGGCGGCGAGCAAATCGAAGTCGCGCAGCCAGAAGAGAAACTCGCTTCAGCAGCTGAAGTCACGCTCAACAGCGCCGTCTACCAAAGTCTTCCGTCCACCGTGTACGAAGGTCTACCATCTACAGTCTACAAACGCCCACAGATCGTCTAAGATACCAACTTATATTCTAATACAACACAAATTTACGACATCTCTGATGTCAGCAAGCAGCATTTGCAGCAATTCAACGCACTCCTTACGGCCGTCAACCATCACATGACCCTTTTTACGATGCATCCAGCGCCTTTAGCGATTCTTGCTTTCATTCACATTTATTATTTCCTTACCTTGGCTCTTTTACTTTAAACCATCTTGCATTTTTATACATCGTCACCGATGTGCGTTGATACCAACATGAGATTGGCGTTTTTATACATACTTAATTTCTATTTCATGGCTGGACTCGTCCGGTTTTCATCTTTTGTGGTTGTTTGTTATGTTAGGGTGTTGTTTATTGACTGTTTAGGGGGAGTTGATATGATATGGAAAAGAGACATGTATATATGAAGTTTATGGTAGAAAGATTGTTTTAGATTTGTTTTTTGGGGGGATGGGGGATAGATTGGATTGATATACTGGGTGGAAGATACATACAGATGTAACTCAGATCAACCTTTAAACTTATAATGTCTTCTTTTGTGCAAATGTGATGGTGTGAGTGACTTGCCTTCCTACTTGTCCTTTGCTGGTCTGCTCGTTAGGAGCAAGACCTTGACTTCTTCTTCCCTAGACGGCCCAAGCTTTAGGGGATATTGAGTATGCGTCTCTGCCGTCTGATGTCGCTCGCTTTAGGACAAGCCTTGCGTACTTGGTCGAGTCTAGACGGAGAATAAGCTTCTTGGTATCTTAAATAACGGTCTTTGGTAGCTTAAATTAACCATGTGGATCAAGTTACCTAGGTATTCTTTGTAAAGCTAAGTCATCTTTAGACCCAGGAGAGGGGTTTTGTTTGGACAGAGGTTATGTATATGGACCATCATTGGGTCTTAGTATTTCCAAGGTTGAAAATGCATTTGGTCTAACGGTCAAATGTGGAATGAGGAACCACGATTCTCACGGTATCTTCCTCACAGTATCTTCCTCACGATATCTTCCTTTTCGTAGCCAGTCTTGTTGCAAGAATAATTTTGCCTGTAAATTACATTCTCATTTAGAATACATAGTCACCATCCATTACTCCAACCAATCCAGATATAACATTCCAGCGCCTACACCAAATACAACATCAAAAGATCCATCCATCACCCTACAACCCAACCATCCTCCTAAACGCCGCATTATTAATAGTCCTCCCCTCCCCATCGACCCCCTTCCCCTCCCTCACCCCCCCCATCCCCCTCCGCGAGTCCCGTCAAAAACGCTCCCAACTCCCTCGTCGGACTAATCAACCCCGGCGACACCATTCTAAACAGCGGAAACATACTTATGACCGCGCCCTCAATCCCCGTCTTCTTCGGCATGAACTCATGAATCTCAGTATGCAACGTCGGATCTACACCCGCAGGCCGCACACTATATGGTCTGAGATTCGCGTATTCTGCGGTCTTTGAGAGCGCAAGGAGTTCGGCTTCCGTCTGCCCTTTTACGCGGCCGAAGAGGGAGGTCATGAAGGAGGGGCTTGTGGTGGCGCCTTCGCCGGAGACGTAGATGAAGTTTACTGGTTTTGGGGCGGTGGATTTGGAGAGGGCTTTGGCGAATGTGAGTGGGTAGGTGTTGGTTATTGAGAAGTATTCCCTGATTTCTGTTAGTACTGTATATGGATGGGGAGTTTGGGGGGACATACTCTTTCCCAACTTTCGTTTGTGAGATTCCTTGGGCCCAGACGACGCCGTCCACGTCCTTTAGTTGTGCCATTAGCTCGTTCGAGTAGTTGGTGAAGTCTTTGTGGATTATGACATTGCATTTTGCGCAGCCGTCTGCTTGGGGGACAGGGCGGCGAGAGAGGATTGAGACTTGCGATACTGAGCTGGCGTTTATCATATGCTGGAGGACGCCGGAGCCTACGAGGCCTGTTGCGCCGGTTAGAACGAGATGCATGGTATCTAGATAGCTGGAAGATGGTAAGTGAAGTTAATTGGGGTTGTATAGCAAAATGGCTGCAGCCTGCGTCTTATATGGCCCATGAAATGGTGGCTCTGATTACTCTTTGTTGTGAAATGAAGTCTGTGGTGCTGCGACGGCATGGTGCGGAGGGTCGGAGGCGCGGATTTAAGGGACAAGCCGGCAGTGTCTCCCTGTTTTGGGGGTGGTCCTGAACTCAGAATACTGCTGGGCAACGCCAAAGACATTATTGTCAGCCTATTGCATACCACATCAACGGAGTTTGCGATCGTTGTACAGCAGGCCGAGTAGGTGACGAGTCGCGACGGGTCTGAGGTAACTGAAGCCGCGTCGACATTTGTCGCGATTTCCAGAAGAACGCTCTTTCTTCACTACTCCTGACCAGTGGGTTCTCCCACAAGCAAAGTAGGTAGGTAACATCCCTCCTTGCTCATCCCATAATACTAATGACAACCAGGTACTGCGAATCACAGCTCAAGTAAGAAAATCTATGATGTTGGACCAGTTCTGTGCCTTTTCATGCGCTGAACGCCCATTCCAGTCTCATGCCAGCAGGCCGTTTGAAGATATATTTCTTTCAGGCAACATCGGATGCTTCTTGAATTTTACAGTATCGTTATTGCCGCGAGGTTGGACTTGCTCGTCTGGTGTCAGCTATGTCATGTCATTTTACGTTATTGAAGTCAAGTTCGTGAGAGACTGTAGCGTTGACATGTTTCTCCATCTTCTTTAGAATACTGCCGGCCCTGGGGATTGATAATATCCAACTCATTACAACTGCCAGGACAAAGTCGTCTATCCTCGTCTGCGTTCCGTTCGGATCCCCACGTCTTGGTCTACGGTCTGTATGTTAAGAGTGCTCTCATTTGAAGCGTTATAGCGCCAAATGCAAGCCCTTCGCTTTCAATTCGATCTGTAAGTGATGAGTGCGTCTATATTTTGTTCTTCATGTTTCGGTCCTGATTGAAGCCACGAAGCACATCGGAGCTGAGAGCGATTGTCCAAACGTTTGTGACTTTCCAGCTTCTCTTCTCCGATACTTTCTTTCGCGTTTAGCAATATGCCTTTCACAAGATTCAGTCACGCGCACATGTATGTGGCTTTCCATATTTTCTCCTGGAAGTGAGTCACAGTGATGTCTTGCAGGCCAGATCGTGTTTAACCAACAACTTAGTAGTTATTTACACCCTTCAGTAGTCGGAGACAACAAGTACGGATCGAAAGGCAGTAACCCTCTCTCTATTACTACTTTCGAGGACGACGATTGTTGTAACAAACCATCATCATGACAACTACACGATCTACACACTTCTCTGACCAATTTGTCATCAGTTGCGGTACCGTCACCCTGGACCTTGCAGCTCGCAAAGTACTTATCTTATTGTGGCGCAAGAATGGCGAGTATTTACTCCCCAAAGGACGCAAGGATATTGGCGAAGATATTCAGATGACAGCACTCCGTGAGACATTCGAAGAAAGTGGCTATAAGTGCAAGCTTTTACCTCATAAGTTTCCTACGCTTGCGACGAGCGGTTCTACCGGAGAAGCTATTGAGCATAGGCAAGCTACGACGGAGCCATTTGCGGTATCTCAGCGGCCTAGCGGTGGAAAGCTAAAGATTATTTTCTGGTACTTGGCTCACGTAGACTCTACGGAAACGAAGACGCAGGATACACAGATGGAGGATGAAGACTTTGATACTGTATGGGTAGATGAGGGCAAGGTGCTGGATACCTTGACTTGGGAGGACGATCGTATTGTTGTGAGCCGGGCGATGAGCTATTGGAACGACGTCTAGAAAGAAGGTCGTTGTTTTTCCATACATGAAAATAGTAAGTTTTCTGCTTCGCGATTAAATCAATTCTAAGTCTTAATAGCTTTGAGACAAAATTTATATTTGAATGCTCATGTAATAGTGCTTCATGGTGAGATTTCATCATTGACCTGTGCTTATTTTCTCAAACACCTTGCGCACTCGCCAAACTTGTAACTCACGATCGGGTGCCTGGAGGCTCCGCCTTGCTGCGCTCTAAAAGGAGAATTTATAGTAGAAAATCTTGCTTGGCATTCAGAATGGACCACACAAATGTCAGGTTTCTTCAGGGGTCTCCTGTTGTCGATCTTTAGACTGCGACTTTGACGAACGACTCTTGACTAGTTGCGGCGTAGGAAATTACTACATCATGGGGAAGTATGAAAACCATCCGTCTTTGCCGTTGACTTTTTATGTATAACTCAGTCGTCAATCGTTACATATTTTGAGCAAGATTTAATAAGGAACTTTGCTTATAATGAAGTTTTTGGCGGCTCTGTTATTCTCGGCCACTGCAGCTCTTGCTCAGCTTAATCTGGATATTGGAACAATACCAGAATGTGCAGTAAGTTTTTAAACTATTCGTGTACATAAAAGGAAATCACAGAAGCTAACTTCCCACAGAGACAATGCTTCACAGATGCAGTTGTCCAAGCAGGTTGCGTTGACTCAGACGATATTCTGGACCCAACATGTGCATGCACATCATTTAGTCTACCGAATGACTATGGTGGCTACAACAACGGAGTCTCTCTCGCAAGCGATACGTGCCGCATCAATCCAAGCTGTAGCCCTGATGAACTTGATGATTTGAGCCTCGAATTGGACAATTTTTGCTTCGACGACGTGTATGTATCTCCAAGAAATACAGGCAATCCAGTATTGACAAGTAACCAGTGGCGCTGCCAAATACCACTGCGGCATACTTCCAGGAGATCCAGTTCCAAAAGAAACATTCCTCAAGGCAAAAACAAGCACCATCATAACCACAACAGACGATGCTTCAAAAACCTATACAGTGACCTCACCAGTCTACCCCAGACAAACCACAACACTCATATCCAAATACATGTACTCAACCAGCATCATCACCACAACAAGCGCAGGCGACACATCCACATACACCACCTCCAAATCACTATATCAAGCCTTCTGCGTTTCTACAATCGTCTGGGGTGCTGAAACTAGAAGACCTACCTTATCCACGAGTAGACGATACACCCCTTCCAGCAGCGCTACCAGAACGAGAAGTCTGAATGACGATTTAACGCCTACGGGTCCGGTTTTCTCGCAGGGACCGCCCGAGAGCGTGGTGCCGTTTCGATTGAGCGGGTTGCCGACGATTACGGGTATACCGCCGCCTAAACCGACCACGGAGTCGAATTTGCCGATTAGTACGACGGGGGTTGTTGCAGCTGCGACGACGACGGCAGCTTCGGGTGCTGAGAGGGCTAGGGTTGCGGGATTGGGGTTGGGCGTTGTGTTGTGTTGGATGTGTTTTGTGGCGTGAGGATGTTCAGGATGTGGAATGGTTGTTTGGATGGTAAAAGCGATATACCCAGTGTGTTTTGAGATGCATTTTCAGCGGGGGATATTGAAAATAAGTATATAGAGTACATAAGACAATGGCAGTTCTAAAACCGAGAATCTCATGTGGAACGTCAAAGATGGGAAGCTTCTCGGGTGATACATCGTCGGGCAAGATATTGGGCATTCTCTAGCGTCAACCACATCCCGACTTCTCTAAGGATTCCTGGCTGGGAAACTCACGTCTTAGTGGTAACTGTATCGGTGAGCTCATGTTCGTTTGATTGATAGAAAGGTGTTGGGAGTACAAGTCACTTCCAGTATCCAATGAGTATGTACCTAAGTACTGCGGGACAGGAGCCTCGGCTTCCTCCAAGGAGGGGACGATGCATAACCGACATCGTACAGCGACTCAACATGGCACGTACAGTCGTACTCGTACCCCCGCACAATCAAGAGAGATCGCAAAGTTAAACCATCTTGTCGAGTATTATTACCTGCGGTAGATATCCGGAGAGCCGGTGTCTAGTGCTGACTGTGTGAGATCTCTACTTAACATAGGCTACGTAGCATCGTATATCCGTGGGAAGTGAACGTCGGCAAGAACACGCCTAGTTTCTTTTGAGACGACTTCTGTTTAAACTCATTATTTCTTCGACAGATTAATGTATAAATTGCATTCGATATGGTAAGTAGTCATCCAGGGGTCGCCAAAAAGCACTGTTAACACCAAAACGCAGACATCCCATCAACAGCCAGCCTTTATGAACCGCGCGAACTTGAACACGCGCATGCAAATAGGAAAGGGCACAACGTTCCTCCCAGGAAAGAAAGATCCATCAGTAGCCAAGCAGATAGATCATGTCCTGGAGCACGGCTACGTGATCCTCCCATCAATTTTCACAAAGACGGAAGTTGACAACGCCAACGCTGAATTGGAGCGCCTTGAAGCATCGGTATCAGGACCAGCTTCCAAAGGCGGTCGGAATGCTTTCGAAGGGTTTCAAACTAAACGGGTATATTCGTTGCCTGATAAGAGTCGAGCTTTCGACTGTTTCCCGATACATGATACGATTTTGAAATTGAATGATTACTTCTTGCAGCCGAGTTACCTGTTGAGTAGTTTTCATACCGTGGATATTGGGCCGGGAGAGAAACCACAGGGGATTCATACTGATGACGGGCTCATACCGCTACCTCGTCCGAGACCGTTGATGGGTATTGTAAGTAGCAACCTACCTTCGTTAGATGATCACTGACCTTCCAGGGCACAATGGTATCCCTCGACGATTTCACCGCAACAAACGGCGCCACCACCTTAATCCCTGGTTCCCATCTCTGGGACGACCACCAAGAACCAAACCGCGACGCAATGATCTCCGCCATCATGCCTGCCGGCTCCGTAGTCTACTTCCTCAACACGCTCTGGCACAGCGGCGGCGAGAACACCAGCAACGGTCGTCGTAGATCTTTGACAGTGCAGTACTGTCAACCGTGGATTCGTCCGTATGAGAACTTTACTGTTGCGACGGGATGGGAGGATCTGGACCAAATCCCGAAGAGGTTGCTCGCGCTGATGGGCTTTAGTACGCATGAGTTTATGGGGTATGTGGATGGGAGAAGTCCGAGAGCTGGCGTCGAGATGAGGAAGAAGAGGTTGATTGAGTGGGGGATCAAACAGGAGGAGGAAAAGAAGGGTGGGAGTTCGAAATTGTGAGCGTCTGAAATGTAATAGGGTACATTTTATATGTTGTAAAATGGCGACGTCAATCGTTTGGTTTTTCAATATCCTGTGACCTTGATCCTCCCATGACAAGAGCTGCCAAGCAAATTGAAAGCGGTGTATGCCCCTCCATCTCCGGGCTCGGCCCGTCCGGCAGAATCGAGAATTTTAGCGGGGTACTGTTGTTTTGTCCCTCCAAGCTTGACTCACTCCACCTAAGAGATAATTTGAGACGTTTACGGAAACGAAATTGTATTTATTGAGGAGGTATTCTCATTCTTCAATTATGCCAAAAGTTTACTTACTTGATTACGTCGCTGGGAATGTGCGGAGTTTAGTCAATGCAATTGAGAAGGTGGGATACACGGTGGAATGGATAAAGTCACCAGAAGATGTTGAGAAAGCGGATGTGAGTACTATTCCATGTATATGGGATATTGAAGCCATTTTCTTGCTTCGATGTACCAATTCACGTCTGGTTCTTCTATATGTTCAATCTAATCTTGCTTTTACTTAGAAACTCATACTCCCGGGAGTAGGTCATTTCGGCCATTGCATGACCCAATTCGCCGAAGCCAATTACCTACCCGCGATTCGAAAACACATTGACTCTGGAAAACCGTTCATGGGAATTTGCGTCGGACTACAAGCATTATTTGAAGGATCGTCGGAAGCTCCCTCCGTTTCTGGGCTCGGTGTTATAAAAGGACGTCTCGATCGTTTCGATGACTCCTCGAAATCTGTACCTCACATAGGTTGGAACTCTGCGAATACGACAGATAAGAAGGTCTATGGGCTGCTACCTAGTTCGAAATATTACTACGTTCACAGCTATAAAGTACCGTACAAAAAGGGCGAGCTGGAGGCGCAGGGATGTTCAGTCGCGACAGCTCGATATGGAGACGAGGAGTTTGTGGGTGCCGTTGCAAAAGATAACGTCCTCGCGACGCAGTTTCATCCAGAGAAAAGTGGTGCTGCGGGACTGCGGGTTCTAAAAGCTTTCCTGGATGGCGAGAAAGAAAGTGGTATAGCTGGGTTGGAAGCTATGGAAGAGGGATTGACAAGAAGGGTGATTGCATGCTTAGATGTGCGGACAAACGACCAGGGCGATTTGGTCGTGACAAAGGGTGACCAATATGATGTGAGGGAAAAGACGGATGGCGGAAACGTTAGGAATTTGGGAAAGCCAGTGGAAATGGCGAGGAAATACTATGAACAAGGTGCAGATGAAGTGACGTTTCTTAACATCACAAGTTTTAGGGACTGTCCCATAGCAGATTTACCGATGCTGGAAATTCTGCGGCAAACATCGAAAACTGTTTTCGTTCCCCTGACAATAGGTGGCGGGATCAGGGACACGACAGATACTGATGGTACGAAAGTCTCAGCTCTCGAAATCGCAACTATGTACTTCAAAAGCGGAGCGGATAAAGTGTCGATAGGTTCAGACGCCGTTACAGCAGCTGAAGAATATTATGCTGCCGGCAAGAAGCTTTCGGGAAAGACGGCGATTGAGCAGATATCTCAAGCTTATGGAAATCAAGCCGTGGTAGTAAGCGTCGACCCAAAACGAGTATACGTCGCCGATTCATCAGAAACAAAACACAACGCGATACCCACCACGACGCCTGGTCCAAATCGAGAGAAATACTGTTGGTACGCATGTACTATCAAAGGTGGTCGAGAAACGCGAGATATGGATGTGGTTGAGCTCACACAAGCTGTCGAAGCAATGGGCTGTGGGGAAATTCTGCTGAATTGTATTGACAAAGATGGAACGAACAGTGGTTTCGATCTAGAACTCATAAACCAAGTCAAGAATGCGATCAAAATCCCGGTGATAGCTTCTAGCGGAGCTGGAAACCCAGGTCATTTTGGAGAGGTGTTCGCGAAGACCAAGACGGATGCCGCGCTAGGAGCTGGGATGTTCCACCGAGGAGAGTATACTGTGAAAGATGTTAAAGATTTCCTTGGGAAAGAAGGACTTTTGGTTAGACAGTTTGAGGATAGCATATGACCTTTAGCCCGGCCAAAAATAAAAGATTCAAATTACCATCCTACCTCACATGTTCATTTCCATTTCTCACTCAATTCTTCACCCTGCCTAATCCTCTCCATATTCCTCTCCACAAAATCCTCCACATCCACAACCTCAAGCCCCTTCTCCACATTAAAACTCCTCTCCTTATCCCAACTCACCCCCCGTCCCTTCGCAAACGCCACTCTATACCTCTTCATATTATCATCCGGATCATCTCTCAACTCCCTTTCCAAGAACTCCACATCCCACAACACCCGTCCAACCTCCACCCCTAGCTTCTCTTCCAAAGCCTGAGCGAGCCGCGAATACGACACCGTATCACCAGCCGTAAACAAAATCCTACTTCCCTCTTCCCACTCCCCCAACACCACCTCCGCAGTAATCCGTCCTATATCCCCCGGACTCGTAACCGTAACCCTATTCTCCCATCCCCCTAACGCGCGCACCACTATCTTCCCTCCTTCTACACCTACAATCCCGAACGAGGGCTCGAATAAAAAACTAGTGAAAAGTCCCGTACTTATAATCGTCCATTTCGTCTCATGCCCCTCGGCGCGCAGAAGATCACGCACGTCCAGTTGTTCATCCCACACAGGCTGTCCCGACCCACGACCGATAATGTCGTAGTCGACGCCGAATTGCCAGGGGATATACCGCGGGACTTTGGCTGCGAGGACGGCTCGGGTGATTTTTGTTTGGAGGGCGGAGGAGGGAGAGGCGAAGCCTAGGGCGGAGATGATGAGGGTGTAGGGGGTGAAGAGGGTGGTTAGGTCTTTGGGGGTGAGGGTTAGGATGTCGGCGGGGAGGAAAGTGACGCCGAGGGATGAGAGAGAGGTGAGTTGGTGGGATTTGAGGGGGGAGGGGGATGTGAAGGTTGTGGGACGGATGAGGACTGTGAGGGTTGTTGTTGTGGGTTTGAGGGGGATGAGGGAGGTGAGGATTGAGGTGGCTAGTTCGCCGAGGCCTAGAATGAGGATGGATTGGGGAGGCATGGTCGATGGCGAGGGTTGATGGAGGTTATGAGTTTTGATGGGTGTAAGAGTTGTGTTTCTCTTTTCTGAATATTGGGTCTTGAGATTTGATTGAAGCTGTCTCTTAAAGTAAGGTGAGGCTGTTGTAAAATGAATGATAACTTAGAATTGAGACAACGTTGGTAGAATGGTGGTCAATTTAAGACTATTGGGGTTTTGAGCTCTTTGAGCAGAATAAAAGATACCCGTGAGGCTATCGAGATCCACCTGTATCCCATAAATCCACGGATATAGGGAATTAAGCCAACTTCTTGTAGATTCTTAATGCACATCCTGCCTCCATTCGAGTCTTGGGATGGTGTCAAATCGCTTGGCGTCGGACATAGGCACAGTTTCCACTTAATCTCCAGGAGTATTACAAATACATACTTTTGTGCAGTGGTGAGTCGTATACATTGTGAGGGAGTACGACTTATCTCGCAACGCAGAGATTTAGGGTGAAAAGTCTGGGTGTGACTTTATCGAGGAGAATATGACACTTGGAGGTCTGTCCCAATCGTTGGTTTGACATAAGGCTGAGCAGGGCCCTAGAGCTTTCAAATAATCTCCATTGAAGACGAAGACTTACTGATTTCTGCCTGGGGTATCAACATGCTTCGCCTAAACTAACTCCCTCGTTCCAAATGTGTGTAGTGCTAGTACAATGATGGCTTCTCCAGATGTATCAAGCCATTAGCCGGCTATAACACACCAGATGAGCATTCGAAAACAAGTAGCGAGGATTGACTTACCGGTATGAACTGTCTTAACCGTACACCGGCTTGTTTAAAGACATCTGCTGTCTCTCCATCCATACTATAACCTTGACTGTAAACAACTTCACTTATGCCGACTTGAGCTATTTTGATACTGCAAGTCAAGCACGGACATGTGTCACAGTACAAGATGGCACCCTCTCTAATCCGCTCTCTGCCTGCTTCTAGAAGAGCATTCTCCTCTGCGTGGAGACACAAGCATGTGCCGAGACCAAATCCGGAGCCTTGCCCTTCGTTGCATCTGGGACAACCACCCTCTCCGCAATTCTTGAGACCTCTAGGCGTACCATTATACCCAGTGCTGACGACTCTTTTTTCTCTGACAAGCACACATCCAACCCGACGCTTCATACAGTTACTTCTCTGCGCGGCCAAAGATGCCAGTTGCATAAAGTACTGATCCCAGCTTGGTCTCAATCGGTCTTCGTTCGTCAGGTCAAGCTTCCCAAGAGTCGCATATAGATGTGCCAAATTGCTCGAAGTGTTCAGTAGTCGTATAGTGGCTCGAGATATCAGAGGGAGAAGACCGAATTCCGGATTGTAGAGATGTTCGTCCGATTTGATAAGGAAGTCTTCGAGGGAGAGGTTTTCAGCAGATGATCCAGACTTTCGAAGCTGTTCCTGACACCGCTTCCACCGTACGCTAACCGGCGCATCAACGCTTACTAGTATGAAGAAAGGGCGCCGTAAAAGTTTGTCGAGAATCGATTCGGTGTGGATATCGGTTGTAACCCAGCGCTCCCTCCAACGTTTGGTGACAAAATCGAGAAGGTCTTCTGGATTGTCGAAGCTGTGGTTCGCGGAACTGCGATCATATCGTGGGATAGTTCTTAGCGACACCTTGCTGTCCTCTGTATCTGATTCTCCCTTGTCAATGCCATTCTGCGTGGCCGAGGCTAATTCATCCACTGCACCTTGTTGGCTAAGATATAGAGGTGTGAAGCCGTGATGTTCCTCGAGGTACTTGGCTACTGTGCGCTTCCCAGAACATATGCCGCCACAAAGTCCAACCAGCATTTTGAAAAGTCGTCTATACGTGTGCTGTAGTCCAAGTTAGATGTCGTAAGGAGGATGAGTGTTTTTATTGACACAAACCTTGAGGTGTTCTAGTACGGGTACGGGCATTTCCTCTCACTAAAGTCGCGTGTCATCCCCTGCAAGTCGCGTTGCCCTGCAGTTAGCAGGATGCCGGGATTTTGCCGAGTCAACCTCCTTCCGTTCTGCCTGAGCAATCGTCCACGTGAGTGTTGCCTCCAGGCCATGGCATTCATCAGAAAAGACGCATGATTGTTTTTGATGAGACTTTGTTCACGAGCTACATGTTACACCTCCTCTGCAACAAGCACTTAGCTGTAATATTCACTTCCTTGACGGCTGTTTATTCATCTGACGAATAGACATAAAAGCCAGCCAGCTACCCTTGCTCTGAACCTAAAGATTACCTATATACCCCGCCAACCCACTCATCTACACTTTCCTCAGTGCAAACACTGCAACAAAGCTTCGTGTCATGGCGTTGAAATTCGCCCCTTTCAACTCGGAGATTGAGCTTCCCTTTTACTCTGCTTTATCACAGTCCAAGATAGATCATGACAAGCTTGACGACTCAGCGCGGACCGTCCTCGGTCTCTATGAGCCTCGTGTAACGGATCCAGATTCAAGTGTCCGAATGAGGGTCCTTGGAAACGCCCTCACCAGTGATGAGTATGTAATATCTTGAGACCCTCTCTATACACAAGCTAACGTGTCAGTGTTCCACCTAATCATGTACGAGCTGAAGGCAAGATCAAAAACGTAAACACGATCGAGGACTTTAAGAACTGTGATAAAACAGTAATACTTCATACTGCTGCTAAGCAGGTATGTTGCCCTCTCAACTAGAAAACGAACTATTTTTACTGACTTCCCTAGATATGGGACGCGATTAACGATGGCACGATATACTCTATACCCTCTCTTTTGTCTTCTTTTACGATTCTGTCTTTTGCAAATCTGAAAAAATACACATTTACTTACTGGTTTGCATTTCCTGCACTTCACTCTGATCCTGTGTGGAAAATGGCCTCAGAGCAACCGGAGCAGCTCAACGGTCAAGACACTAGCGATCTTGTAGAAGAGGTGGGGACCTGGAGGTATGGCACTGACCAAAGAGAGCATGGTTTCTTTCTTGCAAAGAAAGTCCCACTCAGCTCTGGTGGAGAGGAACGACCACCAACCCCAGGAACCCCAGGATCTGGCTTAAGCTATAGGTGGGTTATTGGATCTTTACGACAGTTTGAAAGCGGGTTCTTTCGTGGAGTCCCAAAAGAAGATCAGTATGTCGTGTTCGTTGATCCTTCAACGTATCCGGACCATCCTGGATGGATGCTGAGAAACTTTTTGGTGCTCATCAAACGACGATTTAAGCTCGACAAGGTCCAAATTCTAAGTTATCGAGACACTCACTCTAAGCGGCACGAAGCGCGAAGTCGTGTATTTCTCCTGGAAACCCAGCCTGGAGATATACAATCGAACGAGATGCCCCGCGTCACTGGTTGGGAGCGCAATAGTCTTAGCAAGCTGAGCCCGAAGGTCACTAGTCTCGCACAATACATGGACCCTACCCAGCTTGCAGATCAGGCTGTTGACTTGAACCTGAAGCTCATGAAGTGGCGAATTGCCCCTGATCTGAATCTGGAAAAGATCAAAGAAACAAAGTGCCTTCTTCTTGGTGCGGGAACTCTCGGTTCGTATGTCTCTCGGGCTCTGATGGCTTGGGGAGTGCGGAAAATCACGTTTGTCGACAATGCAAACGTTTCATATTCGAATCCGGTCCGTCAACCACTATTCGACCACAAAGACTGCATTAACGGTGGTGCCAAAAAGGCATATCGTGCAGCAGAGGCACTTCAAGAGATTTACCCTAATGTTGATAGTACTGGGCACGTCCTGGGTGTGCCTATGCTAGGTCACCCAATTGAAGATGAACAAAATACCCGACTTGACTTTGAGACGCTGGAAAAGCTTGTCAATGATCACGATGCTATTTTTCTGCTGATGGATACACGGGAGAGTCGATGGCTTCCTACAGTCATGGGCAAAGCGGCTGGGAAGATTGTGATGAATGCGGCTTTGGGTTTTGATACTTATGTGGTGATGAGACATGGTGTTACTGCTGCAGACGGTGGACCTGCTGCCCTGGGATGCTATTTTTGTAACGATGTTGTGGCACCAGCAGATGTGAGTTATTTCTCTCAATTTGTCTTTAAGAGCTAACTATTTTCCAGTCTGTCAAAGATCAGACCTTGGATCAGCAATGTACCGTGACTCGACCGGGAGTTGCTGCTATGGCTTCAAATCTACTTGTAGAAGTACTGGTTTCCCTTCTTCAGCACCCGCTTGGCGCACAGGCCCCAGCACCAGTTGCTATTACCAACAATGAGACCGCGTCTATTTCATACGAAAGAGATCCACCAGAGCATCCTCTTGGTATTGTTCCACATCAAATTCGTGGCTTTCTATCCACGTTCCAGAACAAGATCATCAGCGGGCAGTCATATGACTGTTGTTCTGGATGTTCCCCTAAGATCGTTAACGAATACAAGCGTCAGGGGTGGGAGTTTGTCAAACGCGCGCTCACAGAACCAAAATATGTGACTGAGCTTAGTGGGCTGGCAGAAGTGCAACGAGCTGCTGAAGCTGCTGCAGACAACCTTGACTGGGATAGCGAGGAGGGAACTGGAGAAGAAGAGGGAGAGGGTGAGCTACTTTGACGCTTGCGATAGGTTCAAAACGGCGACGTTTATCTCTAGAGGGGATTTAATTGGCGTTATGGTGTATTGTAGGGCAGGAAAGACCATGAGAAGCACGAAGATAGATGCCACAAGAGGCGCTTGAGGCATCTGCGAATGTCCGGTTTGCTACTTCATCTTTTTTCCTTATCTTTCTTTTCACTCGTAGGTAAGCGAATATGGGTGAGCAATGAGCAAACAGTGGCAAACACTGTCAATGGACAGCTAAGCTCGGGGCAGGTCTTGGACTTGGAATGATTGAGGTGCTATGTATATCTTTATCATTGTTGGTCACAGGTGTGGTGTATCTGTCAGTTCTGTACGTGGTCCCCTTCTGATGTGGCAGCATCAACCGATCTTGAATCTTACCATTATTTCCCATAGCAAACTACCTGTCTTTGAGTTAGAGTGCGAGGCTCTTTGGTGAATTTGTTACAGCTAACTGCTATCAGGCTGGCTCTCGAAAAACTAGTGCGTGTTTTGGTTGTCTTTGAAACTTGACGGGAGTGTGTGGATTGGACCATATACAGATCCACGCACCGCAATTGAAAATTTTATTTGTTAGAGTACCTACCTTGGTAAACAAGACAATATGATTACTATTTGGGAGCTTGCATGTATATCCTCAGCTCGCCAGGTGTCTCACGAGGCTGACTTCTCAGAGTCTAACGCTCGGAAGAGGTGTTGCTATGCGACCACGCCGGCTACTGGGGAGCCAGCCCGCTCCTTCCCAACCTCACCTTCACCAGTCCCCCTCTTTCCATTTCTACTGCACACAACTGGAAGCGACAAGGGGGGTTTGACTAAGCGGAAATTCTCCCTTTCCATTGCTCAACCTCGACGGACGTCTGACTCCTCTTTCTTCCCTCCCCGCTCTCTCATCCTACGTTTTCCTCCCATATTGATCGATCTCATCGACCAACAACAGCGATCTACAGCCTCATCAAAAGATATCGGTAAGTCTCTGATTCCCAGTATCATGAACTGTTCGGCGTCCAATTGGTGATATCGAAGGCCGTGTTGTTGTGGTTCTTTGTTTACTTTCCTTGTTTGGCGGATTCGGTCGAGCAAATTGAGACTTCGATGATTGACACTGAAGCTATCCCCAACACACGCTTCGAGGAGTGGTATGAGCTGATATTCAATACAGGGTCTCGTCAGTTCGTGTGGATATATATCACTACCTACTATTCGGTGTCTCGTGGCACTCGACCAGCGAGAACTCATCATCCGACGCGTTTGGTAAGGTGTAAGTACAACCAGCTCTCCTTCTCCAAATGTGTACTGCGGGACCAGAACAAGGCAAGATCTTATTTTGCAGCCCTGTGCAACCCGCGTCAGATCGACCAGAGCTAATCGTTGCTACAGGACTGCCCATCATGGCTGGAGGGTTTCAGTTTCATCGCCAGCCCATGCAGAATGCATGGGGTGGTTCCAATAACAACGGCCAGTTCAACAACAACAATCAGTCGAATCAAGGCAATCAATATCCAAACCAAGGCGGAAATTTTCATAACGGCCCTCCTCCGGGAAACTACAACTTCAATGGTCAGCACCCTGGCCACCATATGGGATTCAGTCAAGCACCGTCGTTCAATTCTTACGGAAAGTCTGATGGTCCTATGGATCCTCCGCGGGGCCAGCAGAATCCAGCTGGAGGTCGTCAGGGCCAGGGTCCGCCAGGTCAACCACCCAGACTGTTCAGTCCTCCTCCTTCTGGTCAACCAGGTAGTCGGCCGGGCTCAAGTTCTGGTCCTTCAGGTCAACCGCCGCGTGTGTTTAGCCCTGGCCCTTCCCAAGGTCCACCCAGAGTGTTCAGTCCTGGCCCTTCCCAAGGTCAGCCGCTCAGAGTCTTCAGCCCTGGACCCGAATCTGGCCCTCACGGACAACAGCGAGTGAACCCGTTCCCACAAGGAATGGGATACGACCCTGCACGTCTTCAAGCAGGCCCAAGTAGCTGGATTACGAATAGGCGTGTAGATTTGCCAGGAGCCGCATATGCTGCAGGAGAAGGGGTAAGTCTTTTGTTGATTTCATTCTCCCTTCCTCCTTAATGTTGTCGTTTTGCGTTCTGAATTCTGGCTTCTGGGTTCTATGTTCTGCGGTTGTTGTATTCTGCCTTTTGAATGCGGAATCCTGCGTTGTGCATTATGACATCCGGCTGCTGGACTCTGAATTCTGAGTTCGAATTCTGAGTTTTGGAATTTGAACTTTGCATTCGGACTTCTGTGTCCTGTGTTCTGTCTTCCCGATACCCAATTCATTTTTCCATGCTCATCCGCGTTGTCGTTTCAAGCATATCTCGCAATCAAGCCTTCGTACGATGATGTCCTGTCTTGGATTGAACTTCAAGTTGGAATTTGATGTAAATATCTTTTGCTTCTTGGAAGTGCATGTGTGATGTTGGGTCCTGTGGTTGTCGTCAGTCTGGTGGAGTTCAACATCACCAGGAGGTACCTATCCAACCTCGACTTCACCTCTACCTTCACCTCTCACTCCGTTCAAGGAAGGATCCTTCCTTTCTCAGAACCCATTCACAGCAAGTGCTCCTGGATCTTCTTGATTAGGCAGAAAGTGAGGCATCCACCGTCTATAAAAAGCCCTCTTCTCTCCTCTCACTCCCAAACTCTTTCACAACACTACATCATCACCAATCATCATCATCTACTTCCAACACATCAATATCTTCATTCAGCAAACTTCAACCAACACATCAGTTCTCCAGCGCAAGCTGTAGCTCAATTCAAGTCATCCCAGTTGTCCTCGTCCTCGTCGACGTCAGGTTTGGCTTGATAGCAAACATATCAATCCTCATATCTATTTATCCCTCACTTCCACATATCTTTGCTCACTTTCATTGGCTTCTCGCCTTCTAAATCTTCACCATGGAACCATTCAACTATGGCACGGCAGTTGACAGAGAGACTAATGCGGTGTCTTACAAGTTTTCGTCCAACCTCCCACAACGACCTGCTGGTGGCAACAAGAGCGGCAAAAACATTGTCATCAGAGTCAACCAGTACAAAGTCGTTCAATTCCCTACTAGGGACATTTACCAATATGACGTAAGTTCACCTTCATACGAAACTTTTCACATGTCGCTAACATTTTCATTAGATCGCCATTGGAGCAGGAGCAGAGAAGATGGGCAAGATCATGGCTGTCTGGAAATCCAAGACCTGCCAGAACAAATTGAGAGAAGCCGTTCCAAACGCACCGTGGCTCTGGGATGGTAACAAACTGGCTTGGTAAGTCTTCACTCCCCAACACTTGCAACTTATCTAACTTCTCATAGGACCAGTGCCTCAATTCCCAGCATTCGATTCCCGGTCGATCTTGATGCTGAGAAGGGCCGCGCACCACGACCGGGCAAACAACCTGATGTTACCTATGTCAAAATCACTCAGACCAAGATCGTCCGTATGACAGTTATTGAGCACTACCTGTCGGGCAAGATTGCATTTGACAATTCTGTCTTTGAAGCAATTAGTAAGTGAATGACCTGCTGAAGATTAATGCGTTGTTGACTAACGGCACTTTAGACTTTCTTGATCACTTGATGCGCCAGGGACCATCTGAGGCACATGTCCAGATCAAGCGCAGTTTTTTCCCAAAAGCAATGAACCCGGTAGCTATTGATAATGTCATCACTGCCGTCAAGGGTGTTTACTCATCAATTCGTCTTTGCGATCCCAAAGGCTCATCTGGACTGGGAACTGGGCTTGCTGTCAATGTGGATGTCGCGAACTCGACGTTCTGGACAGCCCAATATGTTCATCAAGCTGCTCGAAACCTGTTGAGCAGAGGCAATCGTAATTTCGACTACCGTGCGATGACAAAGCGCCTGGAATCTGTTCCATACGGAAAGAGTTGGACACAGTCCGAGGACTTCAAGGAACTTCGCAAGCTATCTAAGCTCAAGTTCAAGGTCAAGCTTCACCCCAAGGCAGATACTGTTAAGGCAGATCGGATTCATACAATCAAGAGATTCACTTTCGATCCTGCACATGGAAAGGCTGGATCCAATGCAAAGACTTACATATTCTCATTGAAGGATCGACAAACCAATAGAGAAGAAAACATTTCCGTATATGCTTACTTCAAGCGTAAGTATGGTGTGGAGCTTCAGCACCCAGAGTTTCCTCTGATCCAGACGGAACGCGATGGTGTTTTCCCAATGGAGGCTTGCGAGTTCATACCACATCAGAGATATCAGTACAAGCTCACTGGGGACCAGACCTCTGCAATGATTAAATTCGCTGTCACCAGACCCAAGGAGCGCATTCAATCAATCAACCAAGGAGTTAATATGCTGAATTGGGGTACTGACCGTTACCTAAATCACTTCGGTCTCAAGATCGATCAGAACATGTCCACCACGAATGCAAAGTTACTTCAGAACCCTGAAATTCAGTTTAAGGGCAAGAAGATCAACCCCGGTACAAGTGGTAGATGGGTCATTCAGGACACCAAGTTCTTCAAAGAGAACACTGAGCCTCTGAAGTCTTGGGCTTTTGTTGTTGTCAACAAGGCTTGCGACGACAATACTGTCAGAGAGTTTTCCAAGGTATTCGTTCAGACCTATATCTCACACGGCGGCAGAGTTGAAACCAAAGAACCACCAATTGTCAACCTCGGCCATGGAGACCTTGCTGATACAGTTTCCATCGCCCGCCAAAAGGCTGGAACCTTCGCCAAGAGCGCACCTCAGATCCTCTTCTTCATTCTCCCAGGCCGAGATTCTATGGTCTATGAGCGTTTGAAGCGGAATATGGAGTGCCGTTTTGGTATGGTCAGTCAGATGCTGGCTGTCAATCAGGTCTTCAAGAAGAATGCTCAATACTGCTCCAATGTTTGCATGAAAGTCAATGCAAAGCTCGGAGGGGTGACTTGCAAGATTGCACAACCAGGACCAACTTTCCCCCGACCTACAATGGTTATTGGAGCTGATGTTTCTCACGCATCACCTGGTAGTATTCAAGCTTCCACTTGTGCTATTACCATGTCTATGGATGCAGATGCGACACGTTATGCTGCTTTTGTTCAAACCAATGGGCACCGAGTGGAAATGATCACACCAGCAAACATTGATGGTGGATTCATGGTTCTATTCAAGTACTGGGTCGCAAACCACAAGACAGGCCCCTCACACATCTATTACTTCCGCGATGGTGTTTCAGAGGGTCAATACAGCCATGTGCTTGCTCAAGAGATTGAGCCTATGAAGAAAGCCATCATTGCGATGTACGGCGATGCAGGTGCAAATATCAGATGGACTGTAACTGTTTGCAGTAAACGCCATCATATTCGATTCTTCCCCAAGGATGGCGATAGAGCATCGAGTGACAAAAATGGCAATGCTCTGCCAGGAACTCTGGTCGAACGAG